CCACCTTCCCAGAGGAAGAAGCGGGGGGAGAGAGAAACAATCCAGGCCCTCTTTGTAAGCGTCTGAATGAATGTCAAGTATGCCCAACACCTCAGTCTTCCACCTAATTAGAACACGTAGGAAAAAGAGGCATTTTTTTAGGACATTTAAAACGTGCAGCATGAAAACCCATCTGCAGAGCGCCGCTGTGTGTGTGTCTCCGCAGGCGGAGCGCCCAGCAGGGCTCCCCTCGGGCGGCGCTGCCCCTGCGCCCGCGGCCCTGGGCGCTGCTGCGGCGGCTAAGCAGCCTGCAGCCTCAGGGGCCCGGCGCCCTGCCCGCCTCACAGCCCGGAGCCAGCGCTGCTGCTCTCCGCGGGGAACCGCCTGGGATGTTAAAGCCCTAATAAAGGATTAACATCTCGCGTCTTGCAAAAACAGAAAGAAAGAAAAAAAATCACTTTCTTGTCACCACCGCATGATGTTGTTAGGAAACGCGAGTAAAGGTTGAAACCTTGGAGATCCCTATTGCACACAGCGGGAGTGGTTAAAATTGTGCATGCCTGCCGCAGCCCCTGGAATAGGTCGAGTACAGGTTTGCCACTTGAGCGCCTATCATTGTGCCAGGCGCTCGGAATAACAGCTCTGGGAGCAAGATGGGGCTGAGGTTTTCTTTGGGGAACCAGCAGTACTAGCTGGGATACCTTGGTTAAGCTTCTGCACCTGTAAGGAGTACCTGCCTCATGGAATTGCTGCAAGGATCTGAGGTCTTGTATTGAGATGTAAGCGATTAACACCGTAGGGGCTCAGGTGGCATTCGCTCTTCTCTGGACGTGAGTTCACCTCGTAGGAGGACAGTCCGGAGGGCAGACAGGTGCACAGTTAAGGGCGATTCTCTGAGCGGTTCTTTTACTGGGAAACAAGCGCTGGGCTCGGTAATAATAATGCTCAGCTGCCGAGAAAACCGGCAGGGGCCTCGGGAGCAAAGCTTCCGAAGCTACAACGTCCCAGGAAAGGGAGCCCGCACCGGTGGGGCGGCTGCAGACAACTCCCTGCAACTTCTGGCTGAGGCTTTCCCGCCCCGCGCGTCTCAAGAAGGCGTGATTAGCATACGCCCCGCCCCCGCCGCTTCCCGCCCCGCGATTGGCCTGCGTGGCTCGACTGCCCGCTCGGGGCGGGGCCGCGGGGCGCCCGAGGGGGCGGGGCCGCGCGGCGAGCAGGGAGGGGGCGGGGCCGCGCGGGGAGCGTGGCGGGGCGGCCCACCAACCGCGCCCCGGCCGGAGGGGGCGGGGCCGGGCGGGGCGGGGCCTCCCGGGGGCATTAGAAGCAGGTGACCCGGCGGAGAGGGAGAGGCCAGTCCGCCCGCGGCCGTGACTCCGGTGCCGCCGCCGCCGCCGCGCGCCGCTCCGTGCCGGCCGGAGGTGGGCGAGCGCGAGGGTGCGAGTGCGCGGGGGAGGAGCCGGGGCGGGCGCGTCCCGGGAGCGCCGCCGCCGCCCCCCGGACTCGGCTGGAGCGCGGAGCCCCCTGCAGGGGAGGAGGCGAGCGGCGGGCGGGCGGGACGCGGCGGCGGCGGGCGCGCACCATGCAGTCCCGGCGGGGCCAGCGCCGCCCGTTCGCCGTGCCGTGAGCGGCGGGTGCTCCGGCCGCCGCGCCGCCTCCCTCTCGCCTTGGGCGCTGCAGCGGGCGGGCGGGCGCGCTCGCCCCCCGTGCGGCCCGGGACCCCGGCGGGACGCACGGCCTGCCCCTGCCTGGCCCCGCCCGGATCATGCGGGGGGCCCCGGAGGAGGAGAGGGCGAGCGACGGGCCTGCGGCGATCGCGCTCCGGGGGCGACCCCCGCTCTGAGACGCCCCCCACCTGCTGCCATGCGCCGCCGCCTCGGACGCCCAGCCGGTCGCCAAACTTTCCGGGTGCCAGCGGGGCTCTGAGTCTCCGCGCCTCGGAGCCGAGCGTCCCGGGGACGGAGGACCCAGCCCGGCTGTGGGATATCTGCTCCTTCCCGGAGCCGCGGAGGTGAGAGCCCGCGCCGTCCTTCCCCTCTCCCCGGCCCCCGGCGCTTTTCCGGGGGCGCTGATCGCTCCGGCCCCGGGTCCCAGCCTGCAGGGCCCGGGAGAGGGAGGCGGGCTGGGGCGCCAGGAGGCGGAGGGGAGAGTTTGGCCCGGAGGTCGGAGCCCGCCGGCGGGGCCGGAGCCGCGGACGCCCCTCTAACGGAGTGGTGCGGTGTTTCTTTTTTTAAAGAACACTTTCCCCGGAGCCGGAGCCGGAGCCGGAGCCGGAGCCGGAGCCGCGCCGCCCCTCCCGAGCCCGGGCCGGAGGAGGAGAGCCGAGCGCGGAGGGCCGGCAGCGGCGCCTTCCCGAGGCAGCGTGTCCGGGGCGGATTTCTTGAAGAAGAAAAAGAAGAGCCAACAGGTTGCCGGCCCCGGCGCTGCACCCGAGCCGGCGGCGCGGGGGGCCCGGCGGGCGGAGCGGGGCGCGGGGCGGAGGGACGGACGGACGGAGGGAGGGAGGAGGGGGCTATGGCTCGGCCTGACCCCGCCGCGCCGCCCTCGCTGCTGCTGCTGCTGCTGGCGCAGCTGGCGGGCCGCGCGGCCGCCGCCTCCTCCTCCAAGGCGCCGGTGTGCCAGCGCATCACCGTGCCCATGTGCCGCGGCATCGGCTACAACCTGACGCACATGCCCAACCAGTTCAACCACGACACGCAGGAGGAGGCGGGCCTGGAGGTGCACCAGTTCTGGCCGCTGGTGGAGATCCACTGCTCCCCGGACCTGCTCTTCTTCCTGTGCTCCATGTACACGCCCATCTGCCTGCCCGACTACCACAAGCCGCTGCCGCCCTGCCGCTCGGTGTGCGAGCGCGCCAAGGCCGGCTGCTCGCCGCTCATGCGCCAGTACGGCTTCGCCTGGCCCGAGCGCATGAGCTGCGACCGGCTGCCCGTGCTGGGGCGCGACGCCGAGGTGCTGTGCATGGATTACAACCGCAGCGAGGCCACCACGGCGGCCCCGCGGCCCTTCCCGGCCAGGCCCACGCTGCCGGGCCCCGCGGCGGCGGCGGCGGCGGGGGCGCCGTCCTCCGGGGGCGCGGAGTGCGCCTCGGGGGGCCCGTCCGTGTGCCGGTGCCGGGAGCCCTTCGTGCCCATCCTCAAGGAGTCGCACCCGCTCTACAACAAGGTGCGCACGGGCCAGGTGCCCAACTGCGCCGTGCCCTGCTACCAGCCCTCCTTCAGCCCGGACGAGCGCACGTTCGCCACCTTCTGGATCGGCCTGTGGTCCGTGCTGTGCTTCCTGTCCACCTCCACCACCGTGGCCACCTTCCTCATCGACATGGAGCGCTTCCGCTACCCGGAGCGGCCCATCATCTTCCTGTCGGCCTGCTACCTGTGCGTGTCGCTGGGCTTCCTGGTGCGCCTGGCCGTGGGCCACGCCAGCGTGGCCTGCAGCCGCGAGCACAGCCACATCCACTACGAGACCACGGGCCCGGCGCTGTGCACCGTGGTCTTCCTGCTGGTGTACTTCTTCGGCATGGCCAGCTCCATCTGGTGGGTCATCCTGTCGCTCACCTGGTTCCTGGCGGCCGGCATGAAGTGGGGCAACGAGGCGATCGCGGGCTACGCGCAGTACTTCCACCTGGCCGCCTGGCTCATCCCCAGCGTCAAGTCCATCACGGCGCTGGCGCTCAGCTCCGTGGACGGCGACCCCGTGGCCGGCATCTGCTACGTGGGCAACCAGAACCTCAACTCGCTGCGCGGCTTCGTGCTGGGCCCGCTCGTGCTCTACCTGCTGGTGGGCACGCTCTTCCTGCTGGCCGGCTTCGTGTCGCTCTTCCGCATCCGCAGCGTCATCAAGCAGGGCGGCACCAAGACGGACAAGCTGGAGAAGCTGATGCTGCGCATCGGCGTGTTCACGCTGCTCTACACCGTGCCGGCCGGCGTGCTGGTGGCCTGCTACCTGTACGAGCAGCACTACCGGGAGGCCTGGGAGGCCGCGCTCACCTGCGCCTGCCCCGGCGCCGACGGCCGGCCGCGCGCCAAGCCCGAGTACTGGGTGCTCATGCTCAAGTACTTCATGTGCCTGGTGGTGGGCATCACCTCCGGCGTCTGGATCTGGTCCGGCAAGACGGTGGAGTCGTGGCGGCGCTTCACCGGCCGCTACTGCTGCTGCCGCCGGCGGAGGGGCCACAAGGGCGGCGGCGGCGGCGGCGGCGGCTCGGCCACGGCCGCCCGGGACTACGGCGAGGCCAGCGCGGCGCTCACGGGCAGGACCGGGCCCCCGGGCCCCGCCGCCGCCGCCTACCACAAGCAGGTGTCCCTGTCGCACGTGTAGGGAGGAGCAGCGAGGAGGAGGGGGAGGGCTGTTGGGTCGGGAAGCTTTGCCAAGGTCACTTCCGTTTGCCTTCCCCGCTGCTGGCGCCCCCTGCTGGCCGAGCGGGAGAGAGCGGGGCGAGGGCCCTTCCCGGGGAGCAGCTGTCTGTCCGTCCCAGGACTGCTCAGAGGGGCTCAGCTCACGCCTGTTCTGTTTTTACGTGTCTCGCTGCCTTCTTTAAGAGGACTCTGTGTGTGTGTTTTTTTTAATTTAATATGTATTTTTTTTTCTTATTTTTTTTTAAACTTTGTTGCATTTTTGGCAACAAAATTTTACCTTTGCTCTGGGGGCTTTACAATCCTGCCATTGGCATTATCATGAAGTTCCACCCGATGGAGGTTTCTTTCGACTGTGTGGTCCGGACTGGAAAAAATATATTTCCTATTCTGTGTGTCTTTTTGGAAAAAAGGTGAACGGTGAACGTGTGGGTTACTGTGGCTGAGCGATGGCTGGGTGTGCGTGTCCAGCTTGTGTCTCCTGCTGCTGCTCCAAGTGTCCGAGATGTCTTAAGGTGAGCTGCTCGTCCCTGTTTCTGAAATTTCCCTCCAGGTCATGCCAACGAGGGCGTCATGTGGTCAGGGCCTCCCCAAAGTGGCAGGGTTCGGGAGTGGTTAGCGACGTGGTGTCCATTCTAGCTTTCTTTAGTGAGCTTGGGGTGTCTCCCCACCCCCCCCTCCTCGTAATACTTGTAACCGTTCTGATCCTTAGCAGCGCCAGCTTTTGGAATAAGCTAGAGGTGGCCTCACAGCGCCCAGCGTAAATATTTGGAGTAGTGCAGGCCCACGGGGTGGAAATTGGTTGAGCTTGAATTCTAGACTGAAAAGGTGGCAGCTCCACGCCAGGGGAGTGGGTGGTTCTTCACAGGCTTCAGCGAGCCCATCTTTTTTTTTTTAACAAAACGTGTGCTATAATTTGGTCAAAGTAAACTCGCTCCTTCTGGAACTACTTAGGGATAGCGGCTAAAGGGGGCTGCTGGTAGGCTGAAGCACTAGAATGGATGTACCTCCAGTAAGACGTAAATTTCCAACTTTACTTGCTCCACCCCCACTCCACCTCCTTTATCATGTTAAACGGCCCTTTCGCCTTTCTCCGGCCGCCTCCTGGAGAGCTGGGATTAGAAACCACACCCGCCCTCCACCGAGGTGCTGGAGCCGGGAGGGAAGCTGGCTACCTGTGAGCAAACACTGGCAGCAAAGAGAGAGAACGAGCGTCCCCGGGTTTGGGGTTAGTGTGTAGCCAGATATTCCGAAAGCGGTGAGACATTGCTCTCTGCAGTCTCTGAAAACAGTGGAGGCCCACAACACACTTGCATTCGTTTTTAAAGAGGAACCGGTGTGCCGCTGCAGCGGGAGGAAGGCTGCTTCCCCTGCCCCCTCCCTCAAGTACATTTTTCTTTTTCTGAGAAAGCCGACGAGTTGACGAACACGCACATGCACACACACTTTGCTGTGAGAGGATCCTGTTTGCTTTCCTAATCTGCTGACCCATTCATTCACGAAGAGAGTGAGGCTGGGACTGGGGAAGAGGGTGATGGTACACTGGCCAGCAAAACACCAATGACCAAGGCTGAGTGGGGACTAAATTTAGGAAGCCAACATGGCAAAAGCAATTAAAACGTGAGCGCGTCTCCCCGGGGAAACACGTCGAGGGGATTTATGCTTCATTTATACCAAAGTTGGAAAAGTCAGATCGAAGCCCAAGTTCAGTTTCTACTTCATGGGCATTGAGTAAACAAACGACTAGTTCCCATGGTGAGTTTAAACACTGAGCTGGGGTGTGGGAAGCCTGGTGTTACGGCTTTAAGGACTCTCAGAAGCTGTTCGGTTATAAAAATGCACTGCTCCTACCTACTCAGAACGGAGTCGGTTTTCAGTGGGTTTGACAAAACTTAGTGCACACAGCTCAGCGAACGCTCTGCACATCTTGTTCCTCCACTTACTCAGGTGACTCGGAACCTGAGACAGTTACCCCGAGAGCCCATTCTTCTCCTGGTTCCCAAACGAGGGCCTTTTCTGAGCACCTTCACCTCTTCCCACACTCAGTATATCTTCCCAGAAAGGGCAGGTGGTTCTGTTGTCCTCAGTCACCGTGCCTAATCTGGGTTGTCCTCCCTGCCCCCTTTTTCTTTGTGGAGAAATGGTGCACAGTGTACCTAAAAGTTGTGGGATGAGTGGATGAAAGTAATTTAATTCATTAAAAAAAATTTTTTTTCCATTCTGGCAAACTTAAAAAGAACCACCCATTTACTTTAAAAAATAAGACAGTTACCACAAAGCATACGAGGCCCAGGAAAGGCAATCCAGGTAATGCTCTTTGGGGTCTGCTTTCAGAGCTGCCTTTTGTTTCCAGCCTGTTTTCTGCCTCACTCTCCTTTCCTTCCAGGAGAAAGCCCGCCTGCTCCCTGAAATCTCACTGGTACCCACCACCCCAACCCCTACCCGGGGGAGAACAGCCCCTATTTCCATCCCGCACATTATCCCCGCCCCCATTTGCATTTTTATTATGCAAACAGTACTCCCGAGAACAATGATAAAACGGAAGGTCGTGGGGTGGTTTAGCAATTTCTTCCCAGCCAGCTTTGTGAAATGGGAGGACTGGGGACTTCTTTGGGCCTCTCCTGTGCAGCCTTAGGGCTGTTCCTTTAACAGCTCCGTTTTAAGCAGTGTCTTTCTTCCAGGATAGGGGGTGAGGATTTAGGTTGTCTAAAGGAACTAACGTGTCCTCTCAGTGAATCAGTTGTCATGACCTTCATTTCTATTATTTCCCCCCTCACGTTTTGAAGTTGTCTAAATTGGCTGAAACAATTTTTCTTGGTGCCTTATTGGTTTATCCTGGCAAACCTTTTGTCATATTTTCACCTGACCACTTCCAGTGACGGGCCTGTGCAGGTGTGTTGTGTGTAGTTGTGCGCATGTACAAGCTGAAATAACGTGCCGACAGCTCTGTTTCCAAACCGGTATTCATTAGGCCGTTTCCTCCTGGGCCAGGGCTGCACTGATCCTGACACCGGCCTCCAGGAGCAAGCCTCCTGGATCCCACACAGAACCTTAATAGCAGCAGCCGTGACCTGCACTGTCAAGTACAGAATGGGACCCCCAGAGCTAGGAAATGTAGTTGTATATTTTAATGAACTGCTACCCCTGCTAAAGAGGCTCCTTTCACTTTTGTGCTCTACAGAAAAACCGAGGGGGGTAGAAGGGACAAAGCTTTGAATAACTGCTTTCTAACACCGAATGTGGCAAACAGGACAGAGCACATCACAAATCTAGGCAGGTGTGAGGCAGAGGAGCTGAGATTCCCCACTCCCTCGGCATGTCCTTTCTTGCCTCCAAAGTCTAATCAAGTGATCTTGGCAAAGAAATGCCTGAGTTGGGGAGGGTGGTTCTGAAAGAAAAAGCTACGAAGACATTAAAGCAGGGTGAGGGGTAGGCAAGTCGCTAAGTAACCTGACACAGAACTCAAAAACCTTCTAGCAGCTTGATGACAGTTACAGGATTGATTTCAGCCAGGGTAATGCCTGGGGTACATTTTATGACAATATTGTTCTTCATGTTGTTATAAACTGTATGTATATGATATGGGTGTGTATATACATAATATATAATACATACATATATATGTGTATATATGTGTGTAATATATACATATATATATGAGAGATTTAGTGACTTTTGATACGGGTTTGGTGCAGGTGAATTTATTACTGAGCCAAATGAGGCACATACCGAGTCAGTAGTTCGAGTCCAGGGCATTTAACGGCATTTGATACTTTTTATGATTTCCATATATGTATAGTGCCTATCCCATGCAGTAGCTTCACAAAGACATCTCCAGAACTCATGAATCAGAGCCAGTGATATTTTATTTGTAGACAATCAACTTGAATCGATAAGTTATTATTGGCAGATGATTATAATTTTGAGATCATAGCATTAACAAACGGAAACCCAGAGCATTTTGAGTTCTTTTTCTTTTGTTTTGATCCTGGAAGTCAATAGAACAGCTGTGTATGTGGTTATGTTAGTCTCATGATAATTTGCTGACCTTATTATTTCAGAAAAATTTTGTGTATATTATATTTGTGGGAAGGTAAAATAATGCTTTGAGATTTTTATCAAATATGGAGAGTAGTTATTTATGAAAAACAAAGAAATGTCTATTTTTGTTTCTTTGTTCCCAACTAATGTAGATAAATTTTAAAGTGCATTAAAGCAATGGTAAAGAAAATGAGATGCTGTACAAGTCTTTTTCTCCTCATGCTTCTATAGAGACACACTGCTTTCTAAGAATATCTGAGGAGATACATAGATTCTAACTTCATAATCAGATTTCTCAAATGTACTTACAATATAAGTGGTAAAGTTTTTATTAATAAGTAAATCAAGCAAATTCCAATCACCAGAAACAGAATAGAAACTTGTTTTACTTGAATATATTTCATGGGTTTTTCCTGCTGATCCTGTTAATTATTTCATAACTCACTTGAAGAAATGAAGGGAAATACACAGAAGAACAGACATTGCTTGAGAATGTGTTCTGTTTTATCAATCCTCCATCTATACTGTAATACCAGTGATTTTTTTTAAATCTCATGGCACACATAAATTACTAAAATTTTTGGCACACTAAAAATATATATTTTGCCAATCTAACAAAAATAGTTATAACTTTGATTATCAAACATAATAATCTACCCTTTTTGCTCCAAAGTTGACTTTTAAAAAATCAGATGCCTATACTTGTATATAAGGATTTCTGGTACCAAGAATTAACAAATCAGATGCAACCTTATTCAATTTTACCAGTAAGATGCAACATATGACCTATATATTTATGGTTCAAGAGAGTGTATTGACACCAGACAGCTATTGAGTTGGCTGTTGTCATTTTTTTATTTGACAGTCTAATAGGTCAGTGCCCCTTACTAGTCAGGTATTAAATGCTTTAACAATTCTTATGGCTCACCAGTTGAAAATTGCTGCTCTATGCCAAACATCTGAGTAGATGTTTGTGCTGTTGTTCTATGGGTCTGGTCCATCATTCACCAGGTAGAACCACATCTTGATATTAAGCCATAAATACAAGTCAGGAAACCCAGGTAAGAGTTGAGTTAGAGTTGGCACTTTCCTGATAATCCGGGCAGATGCTCCGTAAACCTGAGATACTGTGGTCAGATTTTCTTCCTTGCTATTTTGACAAGGCACAGATTAGCTGCAAATCTACCTCATTCAAATGCCTGGTATGTTTTTCCCAGCACATTGAGGCATAAGAATGGGAGAAGATAGGTAATTAGGAGCTTATAATGTTTAGGGGCGATAAGTCCAATATAAGAGTATATATAATTCAATGTCAAAAATGAGTGCTTGGAACATGATCAGACTGGGAGAGGAGAGGATACGGTAGTTGAGCTGGATTCTAATGCGAGTATTTGTACCTTGCTTACACAAGACTCTCCAGTCGGCACCTCTTCCCAATGCTTTCTCACTGCTCATTCCCCTCGTCCTCTGATGGAAAGGGCAAAGTCACAAGCTGGAGCAAAGGGATTGTTGGGATTTAGATGCTGGAGAAATAGGTGGGCCCAGATCATTACTAGTCATAATGTGATTTAATTATAGGATTTTTTTGTTTGTTATGGGTGGTAACATGACTGTTCAAAGACTTAGGAGCTAAACTGACTAGGGAATCTAATCCCTGTCCCACCATTTAAGGGCTGTGTGATCCTGGACATTTTAACCTGTTAGTACTTCAGTTTTCTCATCTGTGAAAGGATAATAATACTCAAATCTTAGGATTTAGAGGACCTAAAGGATTAAATCAGGTAAGGCAAGATCAAGGTAAAGCAAGGTAGAAGACACTGTTCAGGCAAGGAATGCAAAGGCAATTGAAACACTAGATTTCCAAATTTGAGTTTGTGTAAGAATCATTTGGGGCTATTGAAAATTTACGATTCCTTAGGCTTCAACTCTAGGAATTGAGATTTGGTAGGTCTGGGGCCCAAGAAACTGCTGCTTGCTTTTTTTTTAGTTGCAAAGATGATTCAGCATTCCTATATATTCCTTCCTTACCCATTTCCCCCTAATGTTAACATAGTATAGTACATTTGTCAAAACTAACAAGTCAACATTGGTTCATTACTTTCCAGACTTAAATAGGATTTCATCAGAATTTCCATCAGATTCAGGATTCTACATTCCATTTAGAGAAACTTTCAGAGGCACTTGGAGTTGATGAGAGGCGGTCTGGGGACGTCCTGAGAAACGCTAGATGTAAAGGACTAAGCAAAGTCAAATTGGCCCATCCCAACATGGGAGTTGAATGCAGTGTTTGTCTATTTCAGAGGGAGAGAAACATCAATGAGAGCGAAACATCAATGAGAATCATTGATAGGCTGCCTCCTGCATGCCCCCTACTGGGGATCGAGCCCGCAACAAGGCATGTGCCCTGACCAGGAATCCAACTGTGACTTCCTGGTTCATAGGTCAATGCTCAACCACTGAACCACGGCAGCCAGGCTGAATGCAGTTTTGAGGCAAAAGGGGATAAGTTGGTGCAGGATGTGGATATGTGGTTGATTTTAGAATTGAGGTGGAATCCCCTTGGTTAGACGAGGGGGTCACTGTAAGAAGCAAAACTTGTATTCCTAATGCCACAGGAAATGCGTTTTGGAGTTTGGACTGTGGGATGCTGCCTAGACTGAGGAGATACATCTAGGGCTGTGGGCAGCTCAGGGGAGTCAGCAAGTGCAGTAAATTGGGGACAGCTGCTTTGGGGGACACAGGAGGACTCAAGTAGGGGATTAAAGGGTCGAGATAACCTGCGAGCCATATGAGACTTGTATTTGCTGGAACCTGGTGATACTGCTTTGGAAGAGGGTCATAGGTGCTGCCCAGCGGACATTAGCAGGAGGTCAGAGGGCAAAGGCTGAGATGGCCTGGTTAAGGGTGAGCCCTGACCTGCAGTGGGAGGGGACAGGACATGTAAGCTCTGCCTTTGGGAGAGTCCATTCCTGTGAGGCGGCAAAGGGGCCACCGTTTGGGGCCTAAAAGTAAAGGTTAGTAGAAGGGAAGAGAGTAAGAGAAAGTAATGTATCAAGAAAATGCTAGCAGAATAATTTGGTCTTTAAATACTATTGGTAACTTCTGATGCTATCACAGAATTTCTCTAACCATTCAAATCACTTAGCTCCCTTCACAACAGTTATAATAATCACCAAACTTGTTCCTTTTAAAAGTATTAACCTTTTTTTTATTTGACTCTGGATTCCTCTTAATTTCTAAACGATTTCACTTTCCTAGTTCTTTCTGCACCCTAGAGATCCTAAACCACAAACTGGTTTTCTTAGAATTTATTTCACATGACATGTTGTCTCTTCTGACAGCCCCGTTTAAAACAGCTGAGTGGAATAGCCTCAGACACCAAACCCACTGCCCTCTGCCCTGGGGAGCAGCTTTGCTGAAGGGCTCCACAATGCTTTGTGCTGCTTACTGGCACAGCGTCAGGCTGGTCAGGGCGGTGAGTGGGCTAAGTGAAGACTTTAGGTAACCTAATCCTTAGCTTGTTGATAGACGCTAGTATAATCTGCAGATTCTGCATTAAAATGAACACTTACCTGGAGATTTCTCTGCCCACTCTCAAGTGCTTTTCCAAGTAGCTCTGTACTCGAGAATGCAGCTTCTGGGAGAGGGAACAGGCTAGTCATTTTAGATGTGGTCAGGGAGAAGGCTTGGGTGATCAAAGATTTTAGCTAACCTACATGTCACAGCTAAACATTTCCAAAATCACTGCATAACCCAAATACAGAGTGATTTCTTTTCTGGTAAATACTGGCTTCAGCATTTTTTTTTTTTTTAATCAAGGAATAGTGTATTTATAGACATAGGAAAACTCAACCAAAAATGAACTGTCATAAAACCAGGATTCAGTGCTGCTGGACTTCAGTAAAGTCTGGGCAAACGGGATATAATAAGAGTAAATAATCTGGAATCTGGTCCAGCATAGAAATTTCTCTTTAAACAGAAACATTGGGCCTTAAGTTGTTTTAGGACAAACCATGTGAAATTGCTGATAGGAAACCATCAGGTAATTCCTTTCTCTCTGGTATGTTTTACCTTCCAAGTATTGGCACAAAAATGAATTATTCACAGATGCCATCTAATGCACCATGCCAGTGATTTAAGTGTAATAAGTTATCTTTAGGTTGAAAAAGCAAAAGACAAATAAATAACTATCTTAGCAGCAGGGTCAAACCATCAATGGTCAGTTAAAAATGCTTAAGGACTCACTATCAAAGCTGATGGAAAACATGTACGTTCGACAGAGACATGATGCTATGTGAATGGGGAGTATTACAAACATACTAGCCATGTTTTAATTAAAATAGGGTTTATTAGCTTTTCTTTTAATATAAACATGAGAAAAAAACCACATAAGTTGTAGCATTCTTTTCAAAATAAAACTGCAATCAATACTTGAATCTCCAAGCTCAGAACTCCATGAACAATGTTTCTGAGGTGGTAGATTGTAACGTTTTATACGCCATTATTTCTCGTTTCTATCCTTTTAGTGATGGAACCTGCAGCCCTCAATATAGTGTGAAGCCTTGCTATACTAAAAGTATTCCTTGGCCTAGAAATGCTTTGGTTACAGGCAAAATATCTAGGAATACATTTGAGAAGGTAGAAGTATTTCAAATAGTTGAGAACATTAATCTTTAAAAGTACTTCAAGTTTAGGCGACATTTTACCAATCTCCTAAAAGATTGATTTAACTCCCTGCCCTTTAAAGCCTGAGGTAAGAGTTCCTAAGGTTTGTATGCTTCCTCTTAAATAGCAAGACTTATATGGGACACCTACAACCAAGTCAACGTGTAGGATAGAAAAGCTGGTTCATTCACCTGTTTTCATAACACTACTATTAGGGTCCAATTTCTTTCAATTCATTACATCTGAATAACACTGCTCCTCATAATCTTCCTTTACCAAAATTTAGGAAACAAAACAATGTTGGTGATCAAAGCATGTATACAGCACAGATCTGCAAAGAATTCTTTTTAAAGAGGGCATTCCTATGAAGACACAAGGTCTCTCCCTACAGTGTTAGTGCAGTTTTAAGCAGTGGCACTTGTAGTAGTATAAATGCTACAGCCTTACAACACATTTGAAAGTTTAAAGGTCTCTTAAACTTAGTTTTGTATATTTTAAATAGTAAGCTTTTGTTTCAATTTTTTGTTTCAATCCCCTCTTAAAGATGGCAAAGATAGGCTGAACCAAAAAATTAAAATTTAAATAAACTTTTTGGTTTCAGCCAATCTTTGTCATTTCACAATTCACTAAACTAAATAAACAGGATATTGTAAAAATCTTTTTTCCTCTATTTTTTCCCTTTGTCTACAATGTGGACATTTAATCTGCAGCTCAGGTAGTTTTATGGGATTTTGAGAATAGTTATTAAGGAGCGTAGAGCAGAAATACAGAATATACACCTCTGCTGATTTTATGGAATAGCCATAACAGCTCTTGTCTTCCTGCTTCCTATATTTTTTTATATAAAAATGAAAATAAACTTATTGTTGAAAAACAAAAAACTAAATGAGAAATTTAATTAAACTTTCAAATTAAAGTCTGTAGCATTTACACTTCTGTAGGAGTGCCCCTGAGGGCCCAACCACACTGTTATCCAAGCTTAGAATTGCCTGTTTTATTATCTGCTTATTATCACTGGATATTATGAGAATATCTTTTGATACATCTATTTAACAAAGAAAATCATCAGAAAATGAGAAGCATCATTATACTTGTTGTTTTAAAATCCCATTATAGTTCTTAAGATACGCAGGGTGGACCCAGTCTAAGTAGATAATCAATACTGACAGTTTCCCAAACATGCTACCGTACTAAGTAGTACTTGCAAAGAATTTGAATGAGAAGTGTTATTCAGCAGGTTTTTTTTTAAAACTGTTTGCCAATAATGACTAGCAACTTCCACCATGTAATATGAAGAATCCTTTAATACCTAACAATGCTACAGTCTGTTCCTAGGTGGCTTTGTGAGTTGTTAGGCGTCCCATGTTTTAATGGCAATACTGCATTGATTGTGAAGGAATATGTAGCAATATTGGGTAAGTTTATTCCTTTTTTTGGAGGGGTGATTCAGAAATATAGAAAAGACATAAGTTATATAGTTAGTGCTTTTCAAGCCTCAACATTTAAACTTGAAAGAAAAAAAGAAAAAAAAAACTTCACCTAGTTCACAGCTGTCAGCCTACATTGTAAGCAGATACCTGTGTGGGATGGGAGCTTTGCTTTTCAGTGATTTCTGTAACTGAAGGACAGTGTGTCACATTGACAAGGTCCCATTCTTTATGAGCATAGTCCTTGCTGCCCACGAGTCTCTTCAAGTTGACCTCTGTCTGAGGTGAAAATACTAACTTTGCTGGTTTTTGAGCAGGAGAGGTGATATTTCTCCAGTCCTTGTAGATGAGGGGCGGCTTACGATATTACCACCCCTCTCTTCTCCCTTAAGAGAGGATGGCTTTAGAACGCTGAACACCAATAAAATTATCAGCACTAAGAGACCTTCTCAGAGCAGCTCTGCACAGGTCTTTGTCTTCACACAATCTGGAAATGGCCTAGGAAAGGCAATCAAATAGAACACAGGTACAGTTAAAAAACAAACAAAAAACAAACAAAAAACAAGAGTTCCAACCTTCACAAAAAGCATCACTGATAAGCCACACATTCTCACTCCTTTCTAAATCCATCGTTACTGCTGCTTTTGGCAGCTGAGGTCTACACTGACAGGTTATGGGGATGTACTTCCTGCTAATTCAAAAAGGTGGTAAGTCTTTTAGGGGCTATGATTAGATTGAGCAAAGGGGAACTTAGAGTCATTAAAAAATTTGGTTCTCAAAAAAGTCAAGAACGTATTAGGCTCCTAACAGCAGTATCATCTATTGCCTGTACACTTGTTTCTTAAACATTAAGAGCATACCCTTGGGCAAATTGGTACTTGCTCACTATTCAATTTCTATCCAATCTTCATTAGCTATAATATACTCTAAGCTAGGGGTGTCGAACTCAATCAGAGAAGGGGCCAAAATCTAAAATCCAGCCTAAATCTCGGGCTGAATGGTTTACTGAACAGTCATAAACTGTCATTGTGATGGAAACGCAGCGGAGTGCAGTGATGACAGCGCGGTGCGGGAAACATTGCAAGACCTGGCGGGACGGATTTGGCCCGCGGGCCTTGTGTTTGACACATGTGCTCTAAGCAAACTTTGAGGAGGCAAGTGTGTGCTATATTTTATAAGAAGGTAGGGAAGGTCTAATGACTGAAGCACCATAAGGAACTATGTCACTTGCACATTAATTATAGTAGAAAAATGTCTTTTTCTAAAGTACCTCCCAGGTACCACCGTTTTAAAAGAGTCCATTTCAGTTGTGAATAATTTTGTTGTATACTAACCAAAAGTCATAAGCTATAAATATTACTTTGCAACCATGTAATTTACCATTTCCATTAAAAACCCATGTACTTTCTACACCCAATATTTGAAACACACATTATACATTGTAAGTATATGTCTCCCAGGTTAGCCACTAGTACTAATAAACTCATGGGACTGAACCATGATATATATATATATATATATATATATATATATATATATATATATATATATGACATGAATTTTCAAACTGAATTAACCTTATAAGGAAGGGTAAAAATTCAAATGGAAAACTAACAGATTAAATGTGATTTAAAACATTCTGAATTATGGTCACAGAAGAGATCTATAATTTTTTTTAATGTGGGAGTCTTGTAGAAACCATAAGATATATGATGTGAAAGGGTTAATAAGCTCTTCTTCAATTTGTTAACTTAAAAAAGCTTTTCATTTTCCTAATCACTGCTTAATATGATTTATCTACAGATAGCTTTGGTAACTGACCGAAACCCCACTTGGTGATTCCACAGCCTTACCTCTAGGTTTTGGGCTCTTTCTCTGCTAAGAGGGGCAAATACAAAAGGCAGGTCGTTGTCATCAGCTAAGGAGCGGAGGTCAAAGTAGTATTTGGCATAAACACTGGCAGGAACATTAATATTAAACTGAAGTAGCTCTAAAAAATGCCTTTCCATCTCATTCCTGGGGGGGAGGAGACAAAACCAACACAGGACAATTTTAGTCAATTGGACTACTATCTTCAAAAACATCATTGTGAGCTACTAGGATGGCTCTAAATTCTGTTTTTGAAACAAGTAAAGGCTACATGCTGAATTAATACACTACTGTTCAAACAAGGTACCGCTGTTTGTAGTCTTTCCGGCACCCCAGCATTCTGGGTTCGGGACAAGCGGGAAGAGGTGATGGTCCTCTGTGCACTTGTGCTGCTGACTCGGGCTCATTCTTCAGAGTTCCATTAGTTCAGCTGTACGCCTTCTGCTCCCCGCTCCCTCACCAGGCCCCACTATAGTGCTCAGATGAAAGGAATGATGTACGCTGTTTATTAGCTCTGAAGAACTTGCAGACATTTTCACCAGGCCGATAACAGGAAGGGACTTATTGAAGTAGAGAGGCGCCAACAAAAGGAGTGGGCACATCACCACGGCAACAAATGGATGCATCGAGAGCCACGGCTATTATCCCTGAGGGGGAAACTCTTGAAGCAGCAAGAATTCATCTCAAGTAAATAAATAAATAAAATAAGCCACATTCGATAGGAAAGCTGCCCCCCTACCCCAGTGTGTGGGGCTAATGTCAGAGGGCATAATTCAAGTTTTTGTTCACCTTCATCTTATGGGTGAGCAACTGCCACTATGACAGTTAGGATGCACTTTTTAAACTGGATGGCAGAAAGATGACCGATAGATGTCTTGGCTGGACTAAACCCACTCTGCGATATGAACCCTGACAGAGCACTGGACTCCAACTCCAACCTGTTTCTCCCACGCTGGGAATGCTCAGCACCCAGCACCACAGGGTGAGCTCAATCAAGTGTGGAAGGAAGCTGGGAGCAGTCCTGTGCTATGTGACCATACTGCCATCCCCTGCCAAGTGTTTAAATATAAAATTAGAGCAAGTAATACTACTACAGAAATCCCTTGATAGAGTTAAATATATAAAAATAAATGAGACTTATTTTTTAATATACATTTTTTTAAAGCTTTAATAGTTTATCCATTGGACAGGTCAATGAAGGCTTGATGTTCTCCTGTATGGAGAGCAGTCAGAATATGGGCAAAGATGGGGTTTTCTCATTTGGTGAACTTTCAACCTGACTGAACCTAATTCCAAAATTAATTTCCTATTCATATAGCCATAAGCCTATAGAAATGTAAATTAGATAATGTTTTGATAATCAGATAATCAGGACTTAATTTACTACAGGAATAAATGCACTTCAGTATCCCTTTTATATTTTCTCCACTAATACCTTTTAATTGTGTTGAAATACAGTACTTCATAGGATTAAAATGTCTATTAATAGAGGTTTAATGATGGAAGAAAAGCATTATGCCTACAGAATATGCAACTTCTGATGGTTTTTTGTTGTCTTTTCAATGGCTAGATGGTTGAATAGCACACCATTTACAAGCACAGCAAATTTTCTGAATAGCAGCTGCTCAGTTTAACTTATTCTTTTGAAGGGAAATATATTTTTAAAAAGACACATAGATGTTGGAAAGTTGAAGAAAAAGCAGAGATACCAATTTTTCAATTTAGACTCAAAATAAGATCATTACAAATAGTAGTCAACAGCAGGGGGATGAAACCAGTGTATACTGAACACTGTTGTAATTAATGCCTTCCCTTTTCAAAGATCATAAAGAAAAGCAGCCTGTTATAAACACAGCTCCTCGTGTTTCTGTTCATATACAAAAAGGATTGTTTACTACTAGTCACCGGGTAGCTGGACCTGCCACCATCGCCTCTGTGGCTCGCGCCCATGAAAACCCACACATTGCCTGTGTGTTCTGTTATAACCAGAGCCAGAGCCCCAGAAGCTGAGGTACAGCTTTTGAGACTAGTTCAGCTGTCGTCGTCATGGCAGAGCTAGTGTTCATGATCACAAATTCTCCATCCTTCAAGGGGCCAGTTTGAAGACTCATGACAATGATGATCGAAGTCACTTGAGCTTCTGCAACTTCTTAAAGTATTCCCATTTGTTTCAAATTCATTGTTTGCCACTATTTGCGAAAAAGGCTACCAGCAATATCACCAAAACTACTAAGTGTACACTACTATCAAAGTGGGCATTTACCCCAAAAGCCACTTTGACAGATACTGACAACCACTGGGGTCCCTCCTCTTGGTCACAAGTATCCTCAATTCAGTTGTAAAAAGAACTCTGGTGATTCTGAATGAGTCTTATCTGGAGTAATAAGCAAAAGCAACAAAAACAAACTCTTGCCTCTGCCTGCTACAATCTTGCTCTTCTTATGCTGTTCAATATTATTAAGAGGAGTTCTTTCACATTTTCCTAAATGCCACCCACAAAGAAAGACATTCTCACTGTCAGGTGGGCAGTCGGCAGTCTGCTGGAAGTATGTCTTTGGTGCATCCTGCCTACCAACCTCAGAGCCCTTCAATGTGGCCAGATCAGATGGCCATGGTAAGTTTAGTGTTTCACTCTCATGCTAGCATGCCATCTCTGAGGAGCACGCCCTCAGGGTTACCTACAGCCCCCCACAATGCACTGCTGTGGTTGCTGAGTGCCGCAGAAAACTTTCAAATGGCATGGGCGCTAGGTGGTGCCCAGGGATGCTTTGCCAACCGACTGAGAGGTAGGAGTTTCCTAACTCATCAGACCTATTTTTAAACACTTGCCATCCTCTTAAAAGGGCAGACAAGAGCACAGCGATGAAGCCTTTATATACAGCTAATTTTCCACAGTTTAACAACTGAACTTCAGATAAAAGGAGGCAAAGACCACTTAAAGCAAATATCAGAGTGTGACTCGGGTTTAAGCCATCACCTCTCAATAGTCTAGTGGCCATAAGGCATTAACAGTGGCCAAGCATTTTTTTCAAGGGTCAGATGTATACCCCTTAAAAATGGACTGGATCTAGCCGAAACCGGTTTGGCTCAGTGGATAGAGCATCGGCCTACGGACTGAAAGGTCCCAGGTTCAATTCCGTCAAGGGCATGTACCTTGGTTGCAGGCACATCCCAAGTGCGGGGTACGCAGGAGGCAGCTGATCAATGCTTCTCTCTCATCGATGTTTCTCTCTCATTGATGTTTCTAACGTTCTATCCCTCTCCCTTCCTCTCTGTGAAAAATCAATAAAAAATATATTTTTTTAAATGGACTGGATCCAATAGGTGGCTTTAAGAAAGTCACAGTGATTTACTATACTATTGTTCTGGTAGTGAGCTTATAGAATGTTTGTCAAAAACCACTAGAGACATAATTATCAAACAGACTAGAGGCCTGGTGCACAAAATTCATGCACTGGTAGGGTCTCTAGGCATGGGCAGCGATCAGGGCCAGCCAGGGCCTCCCTTCCCCAGCTGCTGGCCTGGGCCTTCCTTAATTTCACGCTGCTCCCTGTGGTTAGTGCATGTCATAGTGAGTGACGAACTCCTGGTCTCCCAGTAGAACTCCTGAGGGGACACTTTGCATATATATATATTACTATAATACAATAGCACATCAAGACCTAGTAAATAATGAGAAATATGAATTATTATACCAAAGGTATAGACAGAAAAAAGTATATAATTTTATGCCTCTTTCAGTTCTCTGCACAAAGTAACCTTTACAAATAATTCTTAACATATAAACTTTGTGGGAGCAAATGAGGTACTGAAAACTGGTTAGAAAATTCACCAAAACCTTAGGAACTCACATGTCCTCAACGGTAATGTCCTTGAGGATCTGGCAGTAGTCTACATTCCATACAGCCTGGTCATCCCAAACCTTGGAGGCAAGAAGAACGGCTCCCAAAACAATTCTCTTCCAGTTCGTGGGACAAATGTCAATCTCAGCATAAGTTAAAAGTCTTTCTAAGTAAACCTGCAAAAGTAGAGCACTGTCTTTGATTTCAGATCAGTGTAAGTGGTGTGATAACAAGTCTTAGAATGACAGATTTCATCTATTTTTTAACATGTCTTTTATTCTTAGGTTCTTCAGAAGCTGCTTGGCCAGCCAAAACTAGAAGCCAAGTCACAGTTGCAAATCAGATACTTCTGTTGCTTACTTTGCCTATGTGAATTTCCAGCTCAATTTTTGGTCACAGGATTGAATGTACATCTTAGTCATCCTGAAGAAATGCAGTGTATATTACTTTTCCACTTGTGAAGGACAGCACATATAGGCCCAGTATAGATTTAAGTTGTCCAATAAATACTGGAGTGTCTACCACATACAATGTTTCCTACCTGCTGGTAGTTATATGGTGATTTTAAAAATACTTGAACACGTGAATTCCTAATAATACTGAGCACATTTAGATCTTTTCACAGTAACTAGTCCTTTTGTGGCACAAGCTGAAAATAAAAACTGGGTCAATGGAGCCTCCCAGTGGCTGCTGTGTGGTGCAGCAGGACAGGCGGTACAAGCAGGTGTGCTTAAGGCTGGACTGTACAACTGTCAGATCTTCCCATTTTAGTGCCCTTTATAAGGAACACGCATGCATATAAAGGACAGTCCTTCTTTTATCCCCCAGTGCTCACATCTCCAAGATCATTTTGTGAAATTCATCTCTGTCTTACATAATCAGAAACTTAGTGTCAATTCTGTTGGATTCCAGGTGGTAACAGAGCTGCCAGCCTCTGTATCCCTGGTACTCCTAAACTTGCCAAGTAGCTTATTTCTTTTTCGTGCATTATATGGCTGTTCTACAAAGAACGCAGAGAAATTAACAGCTAAGTAAAGATTATAGAGGTAGGCTGTGATTTGTTGTTACCTCAAAGGTTGCTCTGCAGAAGAGTATATATGCTGTTTGACAAAAAGAAAAAAGTCCAATTTTAAAGAATGTGTACTGTCTGAAAGTTATCAGATTGAGAGCTCAGATTTTCCAATGTTCTCCAAACTCAACTGTGTTTTTCAAAAACAAATAGTTACTGAACTATTTTCTTAGTGAAATTCTGTACTTATTCCCCAAAACTCAGCACTCTAAGAACGAATCTCCTTGCAAGGTTCAATGCTACTTTATAGAAAGTATCAGAGGCACTTCCACAATACTGGCATTCTCTCAACTTCCTGTCATCTTTACTGACAGACTTGGAAGTGCCATTATTCATTCATTCACAAACTTGCCCTCCTATGTCAGTGGAAGTAGACATTTCCCTTCTCACTGAGGCTAACTCTTTTATCAGTGAAATCCACCCCATCCCACGTCTGCAGAACACTGTTCCCAAAATGACCTTTTTGAAGAATCCTCTGACTGCTAATGCTTTCTCTGCATTTGGACAGCTACTCTCAATTCCCTACTTATAGCTCAGATTCATGCTCTAATTCCATATATTCAAATGACCACTACACACTGCCACCCCGCTGTCTCACAGGTGCATCCAGCTTAACGTGTCTAAAGAGAACTCCCCTCGCCTTCTAGCCCAGACGCTCTCCCTCCTGTATTACCTAGTTCTCTATACGGAAGCACCGCTCCTGCCGATCTCCAGCACGTGCTATGCACTCCGAACAGTTGACAGCTCCATGAAGAGGCGTATGTCTGACCCAGGCCTCACTAACATTTAACAGGGCCCTAAAAGAAGAGGCCTTGACCTACGTCTTCTTTCCTTCCAGACCATGATGTGACTCTTCCCTTTGGGTTTGCTGTAGGAAGGGGTAATATCACTCTAACCACTTCTCAGTAGAACAGGACTTACTCCGAATGATAGAATCTTACCATAGGAATTCTGTATCGATGACACCCAGGTCCTCACACAGCTGTAGCTTAGCAGGCAACTAGCAAAGCCTTTTCAGGTACTACTGGCACTATAATCCTGGGTGACTTCAAAGGCAGGCACAAGAGGACAGCAGGGATAGGTTAACACCCATCATCCAAGGAACAGAGAATTTAAAGCTATAGTTTTCAAGCAGGACACATTAGAACTGCCTGGGTCATACAACCTGGGCTCAGCTTAGACCTACACTGATTCCTAAGTTACAGCTTGGGGACCAGATGGTTTGTATTGCCCCATCCTACCCACCAGCACACCTTGTATGTGTGCAAGTGTGTGCACTGCACGTGTGTGTCTCCTGAGGTGTGGAGGGGGGATGTAAATTTCTCCTGCTGCTTTTAATAGGAATTGTTTGTGATGAGAAAAGCAATGGCAACATTTTAAATCATGACTATTTAGCTTGAATGTGTGTATTTTACTTCCTTTGATAGCTTTCTCTTAATAAAGTCTTGATAATCATTTCAAGAACCTACTTTTATTTAAAAAACAGAACCACACCCTGTGTACAAAACAGAAAAAAAATGCTTTCTGAAAGAAAAACTGTCTTACCAAAGTCACTATAGCACATTCAGCTGTTAGCTGTGCAGCACTGAAAAGAGTCCGAACAAATCTGTAAATAAATTTGTGTTCAGGATCATGCCTAAAATATTCTTCTGGAACTGTTTCTCTCTGAAAGGAGAAAAAAATGCAATATAAGTAACCAGGGAAGAAAAATACCTAAAACCTCTTATGATAGCAGTCTTCTACTTGTGCCCACATGTCCCTTAAAATAACATTTTTATTGGGTGACATGTCTTTTTATTTTTTTAAATATATATATTTTTTTATTTCTGAGAGAGAGGGATAGAGAGAAGAGAGAAAAACATCAATGAGGAGAGAGAATCACTGATTGGTTTCCTACTGCATACCCCAAACAGGGGATCAAGCCTACAACCCAGGCATGTGCCCTTGACCAAACTTGAACCCAGGACCCTTCAGTTCACAGGCTTAATTTAAGCCAAACCAGCTAAGGCATGCCATCTTTTAGTAATTTAAATATAAACAATGGGATCTTAAAAAATAATAGTGATTCAATACTGACTACCACCATTCATTAAAGGAAAATATAGGCACAACCTCGAATAATTTGTGTTCCTTTTACCTTCCTGCTACAGAATTTTATTTAAATGTATGTTATTTTTAGGTTCAAAAGTCTTGATCACCATGTCATGCTTCTCTGCAATCAACTCTGAAAATAATTTTGTTTCCTGTAACCACCAGGTCCAAGGTTATACTGCCTTATACAGTTGTCACCAGCCACATACTGCTGTAGAGCATCTGAAGTAGTGAAATTGAAAGTATTTGTTTTAATTAACTTAAGATTTAAATAGTTATTTAATTTTCTTCAGAGATGTTAACATCTCTATTAAGTTTATTTACAAATATTTATATTGTTTGATGCTACTGAAAATTATCTTTTACAAAGATAAACTTTGGGTGTTTTTTATTCATTTACTTATCTTAGCTCACTAATTATACAAAGCTGCAACTCAGTACTTGCTGACATATCCCTTATAAAACACTTCTTTTGTAAAATAATTAGATACATGGGATGGGGAAAAGGATTTAAAAGATGACTTTGACTTCAACCTGGGAGTAATTTTCGTTTAGTAATTAATTTCAAAGCAAACTGGTATGAAATAAACACAGCTGGATGAGAGAAAAATATAACTTCAATATAAAACTGACTTACTGTGAGTGGATGTGATCTCTCATCGAAAATATCCAAGGATCTATTTGCATCTCTAAAAAATAAGAATGTTTTTTTAAAAACTAATTCAGAAATTGATAATATCTTAGCAACACAACTGCTGGGAGTAGAGATGGGTAGAGGGAGAAGCTTAACCTTCGATAAAAGCAGTTTTACAAATTCTCCTCTGGGATTCCAGAAGAGGATTTCCTGATCTCTTTACTCAGCATATCAAATTCTGTGGGAACATTTCTATGATGGCCAGCTGGAGTTGTCTTAATAAGCACTGACCCTCCCTAACGGCAATGCTAGTGAACTAAACACATTTGCACTCTTCTGACTTCACGATGGAATACATATGGACATTTTATAAAGCGGTAATAGTAGACAATAATGTCCTTTGAATTTTAATTCATGTGAATATGAGATTCATGTTATTCCATTTCTTTTCCTCTCATTAGTTTCTTTTATTATACTAGAGGCCTGGTGCATGGATTCATGCACCAGTGGGGTCCCCTCAGTCTGACCTGTGGGGATTGGGCTCTCTGATATCCCCCAAGGGGTCCTGGATTGCAAGAGGGTGCAGGCCAGGCCGAGGGACCCCACCAGTGCATGATGGGGGCCAGGGAGGAGCACAGGAGGGCTCCAGGGCATGTCCCTTCTGTCTCACCCAGTCCCAATCGGCTGGACCCCAGCAGCAAGCTAACCTACCAGTAGTAGCATTTGCCTCCTGGTGGTCAGAGCATGTCATGGCAACTGGTTGAACGGTTGAACAAACAGTCAGACACTAGCATATTAGGCTTTTATTATATAGGATTGTTATTATGTATTTATTCTTGTCCCTTTTAAATAGTTTAAGTTAAAACTTGCCTTTTTATTTTAAAAGTGACTAGTCTTTTGATTTAAATGTTCACCACACCAATACTCTGCTCATTTAAAGAGTGGTGCTCCAAGTATATTCTGTAGGCCTCTGGGGTTCCCTTAGAACCTTTCCTCCTCAGGAAGCCCAGAAGGTCAAAACCATTTTTATAGAAAAATTAAGGCAGTGCCTGTCTTTTTCCTGACATTTGCAATCTTCTATCTATATACATAAAAAGGTAAGTGACCAGCCAGTAGCTATGTGTGCACTGACCACCAGGAAGCAGACACGCAATGCAGAAGCTGCTGAGTGACAGCACCTTGGCAGAGTGCCCTCTTGCACTCCAGGACCCCTCGGAGGATGTCAGACTGCCGGTTTCGGCCTAATCCCTGCAGGCCAGGCCAAGGGACCCCATTGTCGGAGGGATCCTGCTCACTCTGCAGAGGAACCGTGGGAAGTTAGCTCCAGGGAGGTCCAGCTATCTTGCCCAGTCCTGCCCTGCCAGCCACCTTTTGATTAATTTCCTTTCAATGTGCACGAATTCATGCACCAGGCCTTTAGTGATTGTATAAAAGCAAAAGTTAGTAAAACTGATTTCTGAGTATGAATCAAGGTCGTAGAACCACACTATACTTATAGGCATTCTATTCTTCACTGCCTCTTGGAGTTGAAAAAAAAAAAAAAAAACAAAAAACTGCTTTGCTTAAAACATCCTTGATAAAGAAGTAAAAATTGATAGTTATTGAACTTTGATCATTCTTCTTAAATTCTGAATAAATAGAAAGTATGCATTAAGCATTTCTGCATTATAAAATGTGGTTGTGTTAAGGAAAAGCACTTCTTAGTTGTGAGCTAAAGAAGCCTTATTTTTTTTTTTAATAGAATAACATCTTTATTTGATAGTACAACTGTCATTCTCTCAAAAACAAAAAATGAGCCTGGCACTTCAAGGAAAATAATTTGTATGTTTGTTGCCAATGACACAATTCAAGCACTTAAGCTAAAAGTCAGGATTTGGGAAAATAAGTACCTTCTTTTGTGAGCTTGACAGCTTTTCAATACTTAAGATTGGTGGTGATACTAACAAAATTGAGCTTTTGCCCTTTATAAAGAAATGTGAACCAATACTTTCCAAATGACCAACACATAATATTATAATAAAATCGTGTGCAAATAAAACATTCATTAAACATACAAGATAGATCAATGGGTACTAATTTAACCAATTACTTACTATAAGTTTGTGGATATAATTTTAAATTCCATTGTAACTAATGGAATTAGTCCAGCACTTATGGACTTTTGGCATGGTATCAAAGAATATCCACAATTATTTGAAGGCTTTAGACATACACAATTTTGTAGCTATATAACTACAAGAGACTGGGTCTTCATGTTGGTTTTTCAAAACAAATGATTGAAGACAGAGCATACATGAAAATCACTGTCTTCTATTAAACCAGACATTGAGATTTTCAAAAATGTAAATAAATGACACCCTTTCCAGTCCATTTTTCTGTTGTAAACAATAATTATGTTAATACAGTGGTCCTCAATCGGGTGATTTTGTCCCCAGGGGACATTGGGTCATGGATGGAGAGATGTTTCTGGTGTCACACTGAGGAGAGGCTGTATTGGCATCTATTGAGCAGAAGGCATAGAGCGGCTAGGGATGCTGCTAAATATCCTCTTATGCACAAAAAGTATCTAATTCAAAATTTCAAGAGTGCTACAAAAATCCTGTTTTAACACACCATGGACTTATTTTTAAATTCTCAATTTTAATTTCTAATACAAACAAATACTCTTTGGGATTCACAATAATTTAACCGTTAAAGAGTCCTGAGACAAAAACAAATGATTCACTCCAATAATGTAATGAAGCACTCTACAGTTCACTCCAATAATGTCTATAGTTGTTACCTAACACTAAACCTGATAGCTTATAAATTTACTGCTAGAATAATGAGACGGGTTTTTAAACTCACCTGTTCTTTATGTGGTAATATATTGCTAACGTCACACTGTGGAGGGAAGAAAATTGTAAGAATTGATTTTAATATGTTAGGTATAAACACATTTTTAAAAAGGGGTTAGGGTGGGGGAAGACCTTCCCAGCTGCCCAGTGGCCTTGAAATCCTCATTCAGAACAGTATCATATGGGTACTTTTCCCTTTGTTTTAGTTCTTTGGTTTTTAGCAAAAATGGGAAAACCAAAATGCTAAGTAATATGCTGTTAGAAGACATGTTTGGGTTGATTATTATAATATATGTTATTACATATTACCCATCATTTGCCCTTTCACCCACAGAACCCTTCATTCTGTACAAGTTACATTTGTGCACATGCTTCAGTGTAAGCTATATAATAGTTTTTTGTGCTTTTTAAAGAAGGCCGTTAGGCTCTGCATTTCAGTTAATTTAGTTCACTATACCCCTCCCCACCCATTTCCATCATTCTGTAAAGGAAAATAACATGCTCTATGTCAAATAAAATCTAAGAGCAAATATAAGAACCCACAAAGTAAACAGTCTATCCTGAAATAAGCAGTGCTAACAATGCAGTATAATACTACAGTGTAACATTTAATAAGTTACTTCCAAGTTAGCCTAAATGAAATACTGAGATGTAAATCCTCAGATATAACATGTAAGTTGCTGTATTCCTAACTGAATAACTGTATGCTATTCAAAGATATTGTGTACCACACACCAAAGGGGTTTTCCTGGTTAAGTTATATGCTTCTCCTCTTTGTCCTCAAGTGTCTAAAATGAAGCTCAAAATAATTGAGGGAAGGCAAATCTGAATTTTATAACTAGGTCGATATAATATTAGCACTTGTAAAAAAGGCCCATACCATTGTTAGCATCAAAGATGGATACTTCTATAGTGCTTCAGTTTCATCTTCAAATTGATTTGAAAAAGCACAGAATTCAAAGTATAAAATTTCAAAGCTAAAAGTGACCACTGAACCTTAGATAACATTTACTTCAACAACCCATTTGACAGAAGGAAACCAAGGCTTACAACTGACTTGCTCAAGGTCCCACAAATAACTAGAAGCGGTTCTTTCCCCTCCAGGCTAACCAGGCAGAGGTTCCCAAGCTTAGCTGTACACTGGGATCATCTGAGGAGCCTTAAAAACTGCTGTTTCTACCTCTCATGTTCTGATTTAAATGGCTGGGGATGCTTTTTAAAGCTCCCCGGTGATTGCAATCTGCATCAAAGTCTGGGAACATGTAAATCAGGGTTAAGATCAGAATCATCCTGGATACTTTTGTTCATATAAGCATGCCAAATACCCTACTGGTTACAGGGTGAAAGGGATGGGAGGAGGGGGAAGAGGGCCTAGAGGAGATAGTGATGGAAAAAATAAATAATCAGAATCACCCTGGATGCTTTTGTTCATATAATCATGCCTCACAGCCGTCCTCAGCTTATCAAAAGGCTTGTAGAGTGAGTGTGTGTTGAGGGAGTCAAGAAAGATGCATGCTTTAGAAACATAGATTTTGGGAAAAAGTTGCATAAGTGATTCTATTCTAATAAGGCTCACCCACCCCACTGAGAATAATGTGCTACTATCCCATGACAAACATGTTTCAAAATCATCCCTAAAAGCCAAGTAGCTCTAATAATTTTCTCAGTCAATTTTTATTTCACCAATAGTGAATATACTGAATGATCATTTTCAAAACTGAATGAGATCAAATTAAAACTTATTGTATTTTCAAAAATTAGACTAATTTGGAGAAATAAGCATGAAACCTACTTGTCTGAGTAAGATTAATCTTTAAAACTACTCTGTAACATCAGAATCTTTTAATTCAAAAGAATCTACAGAACGTAGCCAAAGTCGAGTTTCTTGCTCATGATTTAGTGTCTTGGCTGAATAAAAATATTCAGTGATTACTCAATAGGTGCCAAAGCTCAGGACTCTAGAGAGAGATGAGGCTGTTTTTGCCGAAACACAATTTCATCTCAACTACTATTATATGTAAGAGAAGAAAGTTATATTATTATGATTGTGAACTTGCTATTTTTAATTAAAGTAAAAATACTGTTAATTAGCAAAGAAGCTGGTACATCAGAAGCAAAATGAAAATTCTGAGCTAATTACGTTTTTAAGACTGGAAAATAAAATTAGGGATGAGGGTTGTCAATATTTTGAGAAAGCATGTTCCAAACAAAGGTGTTCTGGAAAATAAACACTCATATTCCAAGGAGACATTGGTTATGTTCCTTGGACAGCTCCAGTGGGGAGTCAGGAAGCTCTATATCCTGTTTTGGTTTAGTTCCTTTTTAAATATGCTTGAAAGGTTCATATTAGAGTATGTTTAAAGTGCATCTCCACCAATCGTGGACTATGTGGTACTCCCAGAAATCGATGAAGTTTTCATCATCATGTTTGCTTAAGTATAAACCTGACTATGGCTATGTTTCCAAAACTTCACCTTTCTCATTTTCTCTGTTGTGATTTTCTTATACATTGATTGATTTAGGGTCTTGGAGATATATACTGATTTGATGCATTTGCCCCTCTTTGGGGGATAGGAAGGAGAAGTGAATTTTTATACAGAAATAGTACGGGGGAGGGGGAATGTATAATGGGGAAAATCAGACAAAATCCAACTAAATTTAAATGCACATACACTCTGGTGCCAGTAGGGGACAGGCTCTTCCTCCTTCCAAGAGTAGCTTCCAAAGTAGTACTCAGTTTTAGGTTTATAGCTCATAAAGAAATACTTTTTTTCCTAGAAACACCCAATAAAAAGTACCTCTCCTTTTAATTATGTTCAATAATGTCTTAACAACAGAAATGTTATCAAGTAAAGATAAGTACTTTTTCTGGGATTTCTTATTTGCTAATTGGCCTTCCTTTCTTCCATCCACTCTGTTAAAAGCTGGAAATTCATATTTAGGTCCTTGAAATCAATATATAGTTGGCTTCAGCTCCTTAACCTGGTCACTAAAAAGGACAATCAAGTGACTGAAGTTATGTGTGGCTAGAATGCTTTTAGCATAACGGGATCTGTCACTCAGCCCTTGGCAACCTAGTTGTACTCACCATTGTACTGTGGTTCTAAGATTAGGCTGGCTGACTGTGCTGTCATCTAGAAATATAGTTGAGCATGAGCTATATTTTTTAGTAAGGTGCCCTGGAGATACCTGAAGGGGAAGGGAAATAGAAGAAAATGTCACAGTAAGTTAAACCTATAAAAGTGTGTTTTTCCTTGGTTAAAATGTCAAACAATTAAGCATTAAGATTCTTCTAATATCCATGAACTGCTTACAGGGAATCCCCCTCATTAAAAAGTAAACTTCTCCAGGGAAGGAGGACTCGTCTCTTCTCCTACCTCCAGCTGCTGAGCACAGACTCTGAGACAAATTATTGTACAAAGAAGTTCAACTATTGTTTGAAAAAGTATTTAAAGTTAATTACAACTGGAGGGTAAATCTTAACTACAAATACAAATTAGAATTTATCTGCCGTTGTACTGGAGAGGTGACAATGAACTTTTTGAGGCCCTCTAGAGAATAAACTATCTTCAAAACACTTTAGAAGTATCCATTTATTTTGGAATTATCCATTGATTTGTAAAAAGCCCAATAATAGAGCAATAATCAAATACTGAAATAGCCTTTACTATGTTAGACTATTCTCTTCCTTAAAGCCAATAACTAATCCCAGGCATTATTAAGTCGTTGAAAGTAAAAGTAGCATTCCTACTATTACAGAACAGCGACAATTGTAATTCTCTTGGTTTTATTGTATTTTAAAAAACGAATTCAGATGAGCCTTCCTTCTTTGTATCAATATAAAATAGTTTTATCATGCTGCCCTACTTGCTGAGATGGAAGACGCTGACGACACCTTGCTATACTAGCAGTCAGCAGCTGTGTATCGCTGCAGGTTGCCCAGGACCAAACCAGAGTAGGTCAGACCTTCATTACCCCATTTATCCACCATCCAGAACTGAAATATCATGGCTGACATGTACACATAAGGAACTGTTTGACATTGAAATTGGGACTCAAAAGAACTGCTGGCCCAGAAAGAAACTCACTACAGACTGATTCATTTGCCTCTCAGCACAACCATTATTGCTTGTCTCATTTTCGGTTCATGTAAGTGTATTTTTGGTATCACATGAGCTCACTCATCTAGGGAAAATAATGAACAACATAGGCTGATGGACAAGAACAGACCTGGAGACAGGGAAGTATCGATTAGACTGTCGGACCTCAGAGGGAAGGTAGGGGAGGGTGGGGAATAAGGAGGAGAGATCAACCAAAGAACTTGTGTGCATGCATATGAGCCTAACAGACAACAGGGGGGTGGGGCATGTGTGAGGAGGGATTTAGGATGGGAATGGGGGGATGAGGTCAAATATGTAATAGCTTAATCAATAAAGAAAATTTTTTAAAAAGGAAAAACATTCTGAATATCATTATATTGAGTTAAAACTTTAACTTTAAACTTAGAATCTATATTTTTTAAATGTTTTTAGTAATTTTTTATATTTTTTTAGCAAGAAAGGAAATGAGAGGGATAGAGGTAGAAACATTGATGATGGATAAACATCGATCGGCTGTCTCCTGCACACTCCTTACTGGGGATCAAACCCACAATACAGGCATGTGTCCTGACAATGAACTGAACTGGTAACCTTCTGGTTCATGGATTGACATTCAATCACTGATTTACACTGGCCAGGCTAGAACTTATATTTAAAGTGTAAATCTAAGTTCAACATGATGGACTGACAACAAATCTATTTCCTCTCCCCCTTCCTTTCAAAGATTCTCATTAGAATTAAAGGCATAAAAAAAGGTTATACACAATATAGGTCAAAAAGCATGTAATTTTTAATGTTTTAAAGCTGAAGACTAGATAAAGGAGTGCTAACTGACATGACAGAACAGAAGCACAAACTTGGTGCTTAAAGAGAGTGGCTGGGACAGGAATAAGAGAGCCAGTGTATCTGACAGAACCAAAGGCCCATTCCAAATTCAGAGGCTTGATCCCAAAATCCTGCAATAAGGACTATCAGTTAACAGAAGTCCTGCTCACTCCTGGAGCTTCCAATTACATCTTAAAATACAGCCAGGGGCCACCACACATCTGAAGAAAGCCAACAAGCAAGAGAGATCAAAACAGGAAGAAGGAAATTAATGGAAGTGACAAAATAAAGGAGCAAATGAAAACTTTAAAAAAAAATTCTTAACCTCAGAAAGACAAAATATTGCATTGGTGGAAAAACTGATGCTATAAAAAAAATGACAGAATAGAACTCAATAAATTAAATTAAAAAGACAAGACAAAGAATTCAATAGAAAGATTGGAGTATAAAGTCAAACAAATCTCTAGGAAGTAGAACAAGAAGAAATGGAAAATAGGAGGGAAAGTTAGAAATTCATGCAGGAATACTGGATGAACTTCTGAGTTGGAACTCTTAGACCAGTGTTTTCAGTTCCAAATACTAGAAAAAATACAGAAAATATGTATTTTTTAAATTCACTGCTATAAGTGAAGATCTGCAGGCTTAATGGACTTTTTTAAAAAAAATGAAAAGGTATATACCAAACTACTATGAAGTTTCAAAATTCCAGGAACAGAGAAGGTACTAAAAGCTTCCAAAAAGCTCTGACCAGTTTGGCTCAGTGAAAAGAGCGTCAGCCTGTGGACTGAAAGGTCCCAGGTTCAATTCCGGTCAAGGGCATGTACCTTGGTGTGGGCACGTCCCCAGTAGGGGGTGTGCAGGAGGCAGTTGATGGATGTTTCTCTCTCTTCGATGTTTCTAACTCTCTATCCCTCTCTCTTCCTCTCTGTAAAAAATCAATAAAATATATATTTTAAAAAATAAAAGCTTCCAAAAGGATGGGGAGAAATTATTAAAATTATGAAAGCAATGTATCACATAATGTCAACAGATTTAAGAGCAACTCCACAAATAACAGTAGAAATGGTTTGGCACTGCAAAAATTAGTTGCAACCTAGACTTCTATACTTCAAATAGGAGGCATGTCAGAAAGGCCAGATCTCTAAAACTTCTGCCCATGTACTCTTTCCATGGAAATGTGCTCCAGAAAACAAGGGAGTATAACAAGACAGAGGGAAACACAGATCTAGGACATAGGGATCCAACACAAAGACTGCAGTTATGTGAGATCTCAGATGACTTCAAGGAGATATGCCAGGAAGACAGGCACAGAGCAGGTCTAGGGAAAACCAGTTTATACCAGAGTGAGATGATAAAAGCTAAGGAAGGTTGTTTCCAAGAAAAAGTAAAACAGATGGAAAATATTTTTGATAGGTAGGTGTCACAACATTTGGAGGAAAAATCGTTGTTAGAAAACAGGCAAGAGAATATAGTCAGGAAACTAATTCCACACACTCAGAAATGAGTAAGTATTAAGATAATGTAGCATAAATGTAGTATATCTGTCTGATGGTCATCTTTGTCAAACTGCTACAAAAAAATGTGTGTATGGGGGGGGGGGGGGTATTTTGTTTTGTTTTCTTTTTTTGCAGCAGGAAATCCAGCCTACTTACTGCATTTGGCTATGTGAAATCTTGGCTAGGAAGAGGGGGGTTAGATTATCCTGGATAAGTATAAAAGTGCTTAGATTTCAGTTATACTTGAGAAAAAGAATGAAGGCTATCGAAGTAAGTGGCACAGCCAGAGAACTATAAAGCTCAATAGTAAAAAAAAAAAAAAAAAAAAAAAATTGTATAGTCATAATAATGTAAACACTGATTCTTTGGTTTAATAAAAATAGTGTAACATGCTGAGGGAACAGAGAGGGAAATAAGATCATGGTGGAGAAAGTTATGGCAGGAAGTCAATAAATAGTGCTAAAAATTAACTTAGCTATTACACTTCCGTTACTTTAAAAAAAAAAGATTTAAAAATTAAGGCCAAAAAATTTAAACCACAACCATGTTATTGAAACTTAAGTTAAATGCCAGAACCCTTTAAAAATGAGTGTTACTAAGCTAAAGACTTCCTGGCTACATATTTGATAATTATGAAAACAAAAGAGACTTATAAAATCTACAAAGAGATGTCCATACTAACGGTACTGGGTCCATTATATTTTCTAGAAATCATCACAATTTTTATTCCAAACTGTTAGTTTCTTACTTAACTTTTCAACTGTTTACTTACATGGTTTACATAGTTGTTCTTCTTCTTTTCTCGCACTAAGAATAAAAAAAAAATTAACTGATCAATTCTGATACAAATACCATAGAAAAATAAAAGTTGCTGATTATGTGATAGATTACTAATATACAAAATGAGACAAAATTCCATTCCATTTTAAAAATAACTTTTAACAAAAATAATAATTTAAATCACCTGACAAGATGAGCTCCACAAAGTAAATTTAAAAACTTGGTTTTACTTTTTGACCTAACAGATACTCTATATTAGGTGCAAATGAGAGACTTGCCATGTACCAAAGAAAAAAGCAAATCAGGCCAGGTGAGAAAGTCAGCTAATAAATTTTACTTGTTACATGTCTGAACAACTGCCCAGTAGTAGTTCTAATTCTACACTTATTCCCACCTTAGTTGAATCACCAGGATCTAACAGTGGCAGCTCTAAGAACCAGTTCTGGCCAGGCACCAATCCCTATTTGCACCAACACTCCCAGAGCATCCTGGACCAGTTATTGGTAATCCACTAAAATACCTTACTAAAAAAATAAATGTCATGACTCAATTGGGAAGTAACCTATTTAAATTTAAATTTAAAAATGTGTACTAACCTAACTGAACATATCACAACACCCACAACCTATCTGCTCTAACCAAGGCCAGGAGAACAAGAGCTCCAAAGAGGGTGTTGTTTCCCACTCCTTCTTTACTGAGAGCGGGTATCACAGACACACATTTCTTAGGACTGAAGAGAGGGGCATGGAACCATTTTTCCTTCACTATTGCCACTTTCTCTCATGTGAGCAGCCCATGGCTCTGGAAGAAATTGAGAAATACAGCAATTCTAACCAAAAATCATTGGCTCAAGGCAGGCAAAGTACACACACACCATGAAAAGGCAGGTTAGAAACCCCCATATTTTATTGTGCTGTATCACTTCAAACAAAATAGAAACCTCATTTATTGTACTTCTGCTGTGGGAGTCAACTAAAAAACTGGTCTTGAGTGGCTTTTTAAGCAAGTAAACTAGATTTAACATAACATAAAAGGAGTATAATCAAGCAAGCAGGAGTGTTAAAATCCTACAGTTCTGATCATCCAAAATTAGTAGGATGAGGCTAACCTTCTGGGCAACCCTAGAGGGCTATGTTTGCCCTGCTGTACCATGGCACAATATTACATTATGATGAGAAAATTCAGAATAACTTAAAAGTTCTTAGCAGCATGAATCTGGATGTGAGATAGCATCATTTGGTTGAGCCCTATATAAAGCAGGGCAAAAATCACAAATTCAATCTCCATATATAAGCTGATTTTTTTCATTTGTTCAAAATGAAAACCTAACTGGGACCTAAATCCTATCACTCATCTTTAAAATGCATGCCTTTTGGAGCAAGGGGAAAGGACATAGCTGTCTGGAGAAACAGACCACATCTAAATCATGTGGCCAATTGACTGTTGATAAAGAGGTGGCAAATGTGTAAACAGCCTATCAGTTCTCCTCCCTGAACTTTCTCTAATATGCAAACAAAAACAGTTTCAAACTTCTCAGAGGAAAAAAAATATTGTCTTACCATCCGTTTGAGATTTATTCAAGAAAATTGTGCTTGCCCTTGGATGGTCAGAAGGGTTTGATTCCAAAGCTAACTCTGTATAAAAAGAAAAAGACATGATGATTTAGTTGAGTAGAAAAACATACGATTTTAAAAAGAGCTATACATCAGTATTAATCACTTTTAACAGTGTTAGTGATGATAACAAGCCAATTTTAGTAAAGGCAACAATATGAAAATTCTACTGAAAAAATGAAAAATTATAGAATCTCCTTATACATTGGAATAAAACCAGGCTATGTCTTAGACTTTTTCAAAAACTTGCACCTAAATAATTTATGCAACTTTTACATGAATCATATACAACTTTTATTATACATGAATCATATGTGCTTTTTTCCTACATATCCATTAAAAATACATAGTCCTCTCATTTATGCTGATATTGTTAACACATTCCAGGAACAGGCAGTCTCAAGAAGCAAATCACGCTGTGGCTAGTTACTGACAGATACCAACTAATATGTTAAATGTGCTAAAACCAAGTGAGTTGTTTTGTTAGACATTTACTCTAATTCTAACTCTATTCAACAAAGGAACTTATTTAGTTAGCTGTGGTTTATTTGCGGCTATTCATTATGGCAGATTTAAAAGGAAAGCATAAAAGTTCAATGTTCTAATTAATAGGAACACTTTCATGATAGTGATTTTTAATACTTTATAAAATGATTTTTAAACGTTTTGCCCTCAATTTCCAAAGCTAAAAAGTTTTACTTCTTCCTTCTATGCCACATAATTACTTGGGGCTTCAATACGAATGCTTTCTGGAGCTGGTCATTGGGCGCTTGTAAAAAAAAAAAAACACACAAAACTGTGCTGTACCTATGTAAGTGCAGGTGTGCCTGCAGTACACCTTGCACCAAGGTGGGATAATCTATTTCAGCAAGAATATAAAAAAGGTACTTACATTTCCATTAAACAAAGTTTGCCACCATACAAAATAATAAAGTTATCATTAAAACAAACAAAAATAAATCCCTACGGTACTCAATAATGTCCAACCACTTAACCAATCTTATAAGAAAGTGGATCAACATCCTGGTAAGAGGAATGGATAAGGCACTATTTCTCTAACCACATAATAACGGTTCTACTTTTTAAAAGGATGTTTGGTGGTCAAATCTAAATACCCTATAACCCTGTTACTTAGGGAATCAAAATGCACATTGCTATGTTAAAAACTAATCAGTCCAATAATGAACAATGTCTAACAGCATTTCACAAATTTACCTAGTAACTAGAACCCCTTTACCCTCCAAAGAATACAGTTACAATCTTGCACAAACATAATTTGGGACTTCCCGGTTTAACAGGAATCTGAACCATCCATTTTATTGGTACTGCCAAACTGGAAATTTATAGAGCTAAAACCAACTGCTTTGTTTTTTAAGGAAATTCCTTCAAGTTTATTAAACTGCTTCTGGAACTTCTATTCAACATTTTTCTGTAAAAGGCCCATAAAGTTATTTTAAAGGCCTTTTCCCACATATTTAAAAAATGAGACAATGCTAGCTACTTGGAAAATAAATTATTCAGTTGACAAAGTGACAGGCAGAGATTTCCACAGCTGCCTCTAACCTCAGGCTTCTGAAAGGATTCAAGACTAATTCCTACCAAAAATAAAGTAAATATATTGCATCTCAATCTAAAAAATAAGCAGAAATGTCTGTGGAAGTAGCCACATCACATATCAGTGCCTATTGCATGACTGATTGCCCTAACCAGTGTGGCTAGGTGGATAGCGCACTGGCCCTTGGACTAAAGCACATGTGTCAAACACAAGGCCCGCGGGCCAAATCCGTCCCGCCAGGCCTTGCAATGTGGCCCGCACCGCGCTGTCATCACTGGGCTCCGCTGCGTTTCCATCACAATGACAGTTTATGACTGTTCAGTAAACCATTCGGCCCGCGATTTAGGCTGGATTTTAGATTTTGGCCCCTTCTCTGATTGAGTTCAACACCCCTAGACTAAAGGGTCCCAGGTTCGATTCCTGGCTGGGCACTTGCCCCGGTTGCAGGCTAGGTCCCTAATGTGGGATGTGCAGAAGGCAGGCGATCTATGATTCTCTCTCATCATGGATGTTTCTATCGCTCCCTCTACCTTCCTCTCTGAAATCAGTAAAAATATATTTTAAAAAATAATTTAGTGATTGATGGATTTTAGAGCAAGAGAAGGGGGAAAGGGACAGAAAAAGGGAGAAAGAGGAGAAGGGAGGGAGAGAAGGGGGAAAGAGAGAGAGAGAGAGAGAGAGAGAGAGAGAGAGAGAGAGAGAGAGAGGGAGTCAATGACCTCAATTTGTTGTTCCACTTATACTTTATGCATTCTTTGTTTAATTTTTGTATGTGCCCTGACTGGGGATTGAACACTGGTAACCTTGGCATATATTGGGATGATACTGAGCTACCTGGCCAAGGCCTAAAATTTTTAATGGGAAGTCCAAGAAAAGTACCATAATCAAAGGAGGAGGAGGCTTAAACACACACACACACACACACACTCTCTCTCTCTCTCTCACACGCACGATGTTTTTCCTATACATACATACCTACGATCATCTAATTTACAAATGAGCCATAGAAAGAGATCAAGAATAATAAAATCGGACAATTATAGTAATGTGACTTGAACACAGCACAGTGACACCACCACAGTCAATCTGACATACTGAGATCTTCAAAATAAGATGACTAGACCAAAAGATTAGTCAGTTTCATGGCTCAATATATAACACTAAGCTGTTTCTAAAAAGGGCGGCGGCATATTGGAGTATAATGCCACCAATCATACCAGTTTTAGTCCCACTCCAGCATTGGATACGTGAAGAAAAAAAATCCTAATGACGTGAATGAGGAACCTCAGGCTCTCTCTAATCTGCATTTCTCTGATTACAGTTTGGCCACAGTTAACAGTGCTATTTCCACTTTGGTGAGCTGCCTATCATTTATGTATGGTACTGTATGTATTGTACCCACTAGGGACCTAATGTTGTCAATTCGCACGAGACTTTTCTGAAGTATCTTGTTTATAGCCTAAAACAATGTTTGTATATAACTTGTACTTTTTTCTAATAACAAATACTGCATCACTACTCAATAGAAAGGATATTTAAGCCTTAGACAGAAACTCATACACACACAGTATTTCTGTATTCTCCATTAACTGTTTTCCCTGGAGCCTAAGGAGACTGATAAACAAAACTATACTGTTTTCACTATCACAAAGATAGGACTGAAAACTATTAAGCAAATCATGACTGCCCCCTCAGCATGCACACACAAGAAATTACTGTGCCTCTTACATGTGACTCCTTCCCAAAATTATTTCTTTAGACACTTCTAAGAATGTTTTCGAAGAAATATTATTGACTCATGATTAGGGGTTGTGATTAAAATTCTAAAAACCTATCACTTTTGTATTATCAATTTAAATCACAACTTAATTTGACAACATAATAGGTTGATGTAGGGAAAGTATGACTTTGAAACATTAAATTAAGGTCTCAATGTAAATATTCCCTAAAGAAAGAAATATGTAAAACCCCACTGACATCGCATACTGCTTTCCCCCTTAACCTAAGATTCTATCAATTTTAAGATCCATTTCAGTTGCACAGATGTTAAAAATATGAAGATTTAAGCAACCTTAAAATAAATAAAATGCATTACTAAAGGCTAACAGTACTAAAGTTCTGCAATTGTTAACTGCCAATTGTTTTTCCTTTTCAAAATATGAGGATGGTGACCAAGGAATTACTTGACAGAGGCAGCATATTTCAGAAAGACTGTGATGTCAATATATTCCAATTAAATAGAAATGTCAGCAATTTCTGGGCCTACAGCTGATACCTGTTTACTTAAGGTTTTCTGCATTTATTGAAGTGCTCTATCATCCCTATACTACACATTGCATTTACTATCCATTATATTAGTTTCATGGCCCAAAAACAAAAATTTGGGGTCTAACAATGATCATAGATATTGGTGATTTTAATCGAATCCACACTTCTCACCTCTGTCGGTTAATGGCCACTCAATGGCCTTGAACTGGCATGACGGACAAAAGGGCATATAGCACACGCCTGGGCCCCCAGTCTACACCTCTTTGAATCTTGCTTCTGATTTCCTAGCCTCTGACAACCTTAACTCTGGCTTCCAAACAACTTCTTTAGCTGCCTCTACCTTGGTTCTCAGTCTTACTTTGTTATAATCGTCAATCCATGTTTTAGTGACCAAGATGTGACACTTCATACAGAGAAATGCATCTTTCTTTTTTTTTTTTTTGTATGTCTAAAAAGCACTTTGCTTAGTGTCGCAGGCTTTATTTATGAGTTGCAATTTACCTCAATTTTATTTCACATTATGCAATGTTACTATTGTAACCCTACAGTTTAATTACTTTAATAAAATTTTAAAAGGGAGTGAGAAAAAAGGTAGTATCCCCAAAGCTGCTCACATGATGTGCCGATATATAAATTCTATTCCTATGTGCCATGAATCTGGAATTAACATTCCTGCTTTAGCCAGCATCATTTTTCAAAACTTGGATAACTCAAATTTATACTATCTTCTCAAATGAAAAACGAATATAATTCCTATACTAAACCATTGTGAGAATCAAATGAAATGTAAGCACAATCTATATAATCCTATCATATACAACAAAAGGCTAATATGTAAATAGACCAAATGGCAGAACAACCAAACAACCGGTTGCTATGACGTATGCTGACCACCAGAGGGTGCTCATGGAACATGGCGGGTGTCAGCAGCAGGCGGCAGAGTGGAACATAGCGGGTGTTGGCCACGGCAGGTTGGTGGAGCAGGTGAGCAGGGGCGCCAGACCAAGACAGGGTGCCCATCTCTGTCATCAGGGTGAGCCTCTGCTGCAGCCATCCCCATGACCTTATGTCCTTTTGCCTGCACAAAGGCGTATTGCCATCGGAGGAACTCAGCATGGCCCCCTCTCGATGTCACTTAAGGAGAGCCGCTGTCTTTAGCCACCCTGACTTTCTTGTCTGTTCATGTATCGTCTGCCCCGCGGCTCCTCTGGACTGTAAGGACCTAAGCAGGGGCTTGTCTTGTATAATACTGTTTGTCCTATATCAGGAATGGTGCCCAATAGACATCTAACCACTTCAGTGCACCTAAAACCAATCAAGTCTCTCCCAATTTTCCTATATCTTCTATAGTTTCATCAAATGCTATCTTCTAAGATCAGCATTACTTTCATATCTTAGTCGTTATTCAGAATTAAAGACATAAGAACCACAAAAACCTAAAAGGGGTTTAATGTTCAGTGAAAATCAATGGTTACTTTAATTTGGGGTAAGAACATTTAATGTTAAAATGCCTTAACTACAAAATGACATCCTAATCCTATAGAATAAAAGGATAATATGCAAACTGTCCCCTTGACTGGGAGATTCACCAGAGTTCGACCAGCCTGCCAACCACCCGCCTGCATGCGCGCGCACACACACACACACACACACACACACCCCTGCAGTGTGAGCCAGTCTGACCCCACCCGTGCACAAATTCATGCACCAGGCCTCTAGTTAAATTATAATAATGAATTCTACTCTTTTATTAGATAGGATGATAAGCTGCATTCTAAAGAGGTTTTTAAGCACAAGAACTGAACTTGGTGTATCTCTCACCTCCATGTCAGCCTTTCTGTCCAGTAGTTGTGTTACACAGTCATTTCAGATCTCTTTTTTGAAACATATTTTTATTGATTTCAGAGAAGGGAGAGGGACAGAGAGCCTCCTGCATCAAGCCCACAACCTGGGAATCGAACCTTGACCTCTTGGTTCACAGGTCAATGCTCAACCACGGAGCCACCACAGCCAGGCTCATTTCAGATCTCTTAAGTCTTGCTTTCCTCACTGGTAATATAGGGAGAACATATGCTTGGGTCTTATTTGCAGTTAGAAGGGACAAATGAGATATACATGAAATTGTATTATACATCTTAAAAGAATACATAAGGGTCCTATTTCGGTCTCTCACCCAACACTACCCCTCTACCAACTGGTTCGTAAAATCACTCAGAGGCTTACCTTACAACACCTAAGAGCAGAAGTTTTCACAAGTGTTTAAAGGTACAATTCATTCACATAATTTGTGGGTTTTTTCCCCACAACATTTGAATATTCTGAAAAGGAAGTACTTCCCAGTTACAAAGCCAAATCCACTATTTGGGTAAATCCACAAGCTTACTATCCTAACTTTTAAAGAAATTAAAAGCTCAACTGAAGTTTAAATGGAGTAAGATCTATAAAACATTTTCTCTATGAAATAAAATAACCTCTGGCATTTAAATGAAACAAACGGGCCTTTGACATCTCCGTACCTCGTTGTTTTCTACTTCAAAGAGCAGTCTCTAGGAGCCCTGTGACCACCCAGAATTATTTAAAACAGACATTTCCTCTCTTCGCCCTCCACCCTACCCAGCTGTTTGATCTTTACAACTTTTACTCAACATTCTTAAAGGTGAACGGGAGCTGTGGGCAGGAGGGGAGAGGAAGGGGAGAGAACCATGGAGACAGCATTCCTGCGCAGGACCTGGCATCTCAACTCCCAAACCTTTCCTTATGTCACCAGTTAAAGTCTGAATTTGTTTGCTTTTTCTCTCTTGAAACGTTGACCAACAGTCTCATGAACCACGCCCTCTCTCCCCTCTCCCTTAGGGCAGACAATGTGAAAGTTTAGCCTGTACAGTCCCTGGAGTGAGTCAAGGCACATTTGTACCCAAGTAGGAATTTAAGGTGATCAGACGCCCTGGGTTCTCCTTTATTTTATTTTATTTTATTTTATTTTATTTTATTTTATTTTATTGGGGGGGGGGGCGTATTCTCTACAGCACTGGCAGTTAACATTTTACATCCTTCAGTTCTTTTTAAGTTCCCTCTCCCACATTTTCTCGCCTTCTTTATCCAAAGTATAGCTGGAAGAAATAAAGCAGCTTCTATTTGCTGAAAACTGCGTGCTTGACACACACAGACCCTCCTGTGCCAGTCTCCATTCTGAACTTCAACCACCAGCCCTACAACGCTGGCGCCTGAGCTGCCCCGAGGCACCAGGACCTCCGAGGGCGGGAGGCCGGGGGGCCAGGGGGGCCGGGGGGCCGGGCCCTCCCCGGGGCGCCGCCGGGCGGGCAGGTCCAGCCCGGGAGATCGGATGGACACCCCCACGTTGCGGCATCACCGCTTTCACTGAGCAAAGAGAGAAAATACACCCAAAACGTCCTTATAAAGTCCCACCAGGCACCAGACACAGCCATCGGCCGGCGGGACGGAGCACCGACGGGCCCCAGGCGCCCTGGGCCGGGCATGGGAACCCGGGAAAGGACCGAGCGCGGGCCGGCCGGAGGGCGATGGGCCCGGCAGGACCCGGAGGGCAGGAGGGGTGAGGACGCCGGGCACGGCCGGCCTCCCGCCCCGGTGCCCGCCGCCCGCCGCCCCGGTGCCCGCCGCCCGCCGCCCCGGTGCCCGCCGCCCACCCCGGGGACGCCGCGCTCCGCGCAGGAAGGAGCCCGGGGCGGCGGCTCCCCCCGGGGGGACCCGGCGAGCCCCGCCGCCTTACCGTCCGGCATCTCCCGGTCGCTGATGTGCTGCAGGTGGTGGCCCTCGCCCGTGCCCACGTCCCGCTCGGCGGGCTCCAGGGCGGCCGGCGAGGGCGCCACCGCCACCGCGTCCCCCGCCGCCGCCGCGTACACCTCAGACTCGTAGCCGGGCTCGGCCGGCCCCGAGCGCCGGCCCACGTGGGGGCTGGCTTCGGGCTTCCCGCAACAGGTCAGCGCGTTCCCCATGGGGGTCCGAGCCCGGCTCCGCCGCCGCCGCGGGCCCCCTCCCCCAACAATGGCGCGGCCGGCGCCGCCGGCACCCCGGGCGCCGCGCAGGCAGGCGGGCGGGCAGGCTCAGCCGCGCCCGCTCCGTCCGCCGGCCGCCGCCGCCGCAGCCGCCGCCGCCGCCGGGCCGCCGGGCCCCGGGCAGGGCTCCGGGCCCGGCCGCACCCCCGCCGCCGCGCCGCTCGCGCCGCCCCGAGCCGCCGAGTGCGTGCGGGCGCGCCCGGCCCGGCTTATTTAAAAGGGGTGGGGACCGGCCGGCGTCCCCACGACAACCACTGCGAGCGGAGAGCGCGGCGCAGGCTCCTCCTCCGCCCCAACCGCCTCTCCGCGGAAAGCCGTTGTCCGAGCCGGCGCCGGCCAACCGGAACGCGCTCTGCGGCCACGTGGTGGCTAGGGGCCAATCGCGCCCGGAGTCCTCTCCGCGCCGCCCGCCTCCCGGAGGAGGCGTGGCTCCGGAGGCCCGGCCCCGCCCCTTTCCCGGCGGCCCCGCCCCCCCAGCCGGCGCGCGCTCCGCGGACCTGGGTGTCCGTGCACCGCGCGCCGCCCGGAGCGCCCGGGTGGGTCCTGCGGGGAGCGGAGCGCGGCCCTCCGGCCGGTGGGCTCCGCGAAGCCCCGTCAGTGAGAAGCCAGGCGGTTAGCAAGTCGGGTCCCCGGGGTCTGACAGCGGACTGATGGGATGTATTTGCTGGGGAGTGGACTTCGTTTACCCTAACTCGTTGACCGTTATTGAAACTATTGTAGATGCTGCTCCGCTCTGCCTTCCAAACGGGTTAGCGGTCGCGGGCGGCTCGCCATCGCAGCCCCCGGGGGCCGTGGTCCAGCTCTCAGACCGGCTGTGACTGTGCCGGGAATGGACTGGAGGACACGTCACCCTGCCGCCGCCTCATCAGCCAGGCGGGGACCCAGCGAGCCCCTCCCGGAACGCTTTTCCACCGCAGGAGTCCCCAGATTCATCCTCCCTCTCTCTCTCTCTCTCTCATATTTTCAATTTATCTTTTTTTCTTTGACAAAACCTGCAAACTCAGAACACCAATCCATCAGCCAACTTGTCATTCGGAAAATTCTGAAAAGAATCATTTTCTTTTTCCTTTTTTTTTTTTTTAACATTTATCCATTCTTGCACAAGTCAATTTTAATACAGAAAGGAATGACTGTCTTTGAACACATCCTCTGAACGTGATTGTAAACGCATGAAGCTGATGCCAGGGAAGCCCCAGCTCAACCTGAGAACTGGTCGTTTCACAAGACTTGGGTTTCAGTTTCTGGAACACTCCCGGGCTCTCTGAACTCAGTCATTGGTGTGAAGGCTGACTAATGATTGGCAGTGAGCAGCAACAAGGATAGCTAGCCTCTCTCAGTTCTTACGGCACATTTGCTCCCAACCCTCACAATTATACCAAGTTCTGCTGCTGGTCTTATCCTCCAGTTAATCCAGAACTAACCAGGGACGCCCAGACTAGATGGTGTTACCCAGGCACCAGAAGCTTCCTTTGGGCGCACACTGTCTATAAGCTTCAAACTGCTTCTCCCATATTATTTACAAAGGATAAGATTTCCATACATTTGCTCCCTTGCTAGAAAACGTTGCCTTTCATCTACTTTTAAAAATATTTATTTTAGCCAAAACCGGTTTGGTTCAGTGGATAGAGCATCAGTCTGCCGACCAAAAGGTCCCAGATTCAATTCCGGTCAAGGGCATGTACATTGGTTGCGGGCACATCCCCGGTAGGGGGTGTGCAAGAGGCAGCTGGTCGATGTTTCTCTCTCATCGACGTTTCTAGCTCTCTATCCCTCTCTCTTCCTCTCTGTAAAAATCAATACATTTTTTTAAAAAATATTTATTTTATATTGATTTTTATTGTTAACACTATTACAGGTGTCCCCATTCCCCTCCCGCATTTCCCCTGCCTCCACTCAGTTCCTGCCCCCGCCCCTTCCTTGCTTTACTGACGTTAGAACCATTTTTCTTGCAGTAATTTAACTTCTCCTCCTCTTTCTCCCAGGAGCCTTTTGACAGCAGCCTCCTCAGATCAGGCTGATGTTAGAAACGCTGTAGGAGTTTCGTTAAACTTGACAGCAGGGAGAAGCTTGAAGAAGCCTTTTTAACCACGTCTGTCCCCTAGAAACAATGCTCAGAGGCTTCTGGACCATCTTTTTCCCAGGATGACCCGATTGCCCTACGGTGCACATCCCCACTGGGGATGGAGCTCACAGCTGGCAATCCCTCGACCAGAAATTCAGCTGCGACCTCCTGGGTCACAGGTAGACGCGCAGCCCCCGAGTCATGCTGGCTGGGTGAGACAAATCTGTTTTTATCCTCACAGCACAGCATCCGCCCTGAAGCACCTCTAGAATTTTTCTATCAGAAGCAAACTGGATGGATGTTAAGAAGCCAGGAAACCTATTTGAAGAGTCGTGTTACACTTGACACCTGAAACTAGTATGGAATATTGAGAATAAACTGTAATTGAAAATTTTAAAAAGTCGTATTTGACCAGGAAGCACGCTTTTAAAAACAAACCAAAAACTTTGTTTGCATTGCCGTGGGGGCAGTGGGGACAGGGGGGAAGGAGAGGGGGGATCTAAGGACTTGGCTCCTCTGCTGAGCAGGCCAGGCCAGGAGGGTGCTCATTCCATGAGCCTAGGTTGACTAATCCTCCACACCCCATGAGTTGTTCCTTCTCAGCCGTACTTACCACACAGATAGAATACTTCTCTAAAAAAAAAAAAAAAAAAAAAAAAAAAAAAAAAAAAAAAAAAAAAAAAAAAATTGGTTATGTAAGCAGCACTCTGCCCAGGAAAAGCAGAGGAAAACTGAGACCACAGTGTCCAAATCCAACCTGCCCTGTTTTTCACAGCCATAGCATTAGTGCCTACCCACGTTGGCCAACTAGTATACCTCTACTGGTCCTTTTTCTAAAATTTATTTTATTGTTGAAAATATTACAGGTGTCCCCTTTGTATTTTTTCCCCATTGACTCCCTTTAACCCACACCCACCCCTCCCAGGCCTCCACCCCACTATTGTCTGTGTCTGTGGCTTATTCTACCTGTTCTTTGAAACTTCTCTCAAGCAGAGCCTTCTCTTCAATGCTTCTCTGATTCCCTCAAGGCTGGAAGATTCTGCATCTTCCATGCTATTAGTTCTCTGCCAACCCTTATTGCAGAGCAGCCCTGAATCGTGTGGCAGGGAAACTGCTTACATGTTCGACACCCCCATTAAACTAGACACTCCCCCAAAACAGATCTGTTTTATTCTTTCTCTGAATCCCCGGCACTATGTATAATCTCTGCCTTGTAGCTGTCTCAATACACTTTTCCTGAATGAATGAATAAATAAAAAGTGGAATTGAGAATACCAACAATCAGAATTGGGGAGCTGTTATAACTATTCCTTATTTTTTAGCATTCTTTATCCTTGTTTGTGCCTCTGATTTTTGTATCTGGGCCTCCATAGCATTTTTTATTTTTTATTTTATTTTTTTTAAATATATTTTATTGATTTTTTTACAGAGAGGAAGAGAGAGAGATAGAGAGCTAGAAACATCCATGAGAGAGAATCATCAATTAGCTGCCTCCTGCACACCCCCCACTGGGGATGTGCCTGCAACCAAGGTACATGCCCTTGACCAGAATCGAACCTGGGACCTTTCAGTCTGCAGGCCGATGCTCTATTCACTGAGCCAAACCGGTTTCAGCAAAACGACAGCCATTTTATAACGCTCACAATTTTGTGGATCAGGGAATCAGGCAGGCACATTGGGGACCATTTATCCCTGCTCCAGGATGCCCAGGGCCTCAGCAGGAGTGTATGTAGCAGCTGGCTTGGCCCAGATGGCTCAGCTGGAGCCATACCTCTGCAGGGTCAGTTCCGGGTGTCAGCTGGGTTCCTCAATTCTCCTCCATGTCGTGTCTCCTGTGTCCATATCAGCTTCTTCCCTCCCATTCAGGTGCCTGGCCTGTGAAAGCGGGAACCTGTGTCCCCCCAAAAATGTATACGTAAGTTAACAGCTGATAGCCCTTTTTGAAAATGAAATTTTCAGTAGATTGCCTTTAAAATTATTCAAAGTGTATATATACATTTGGGGAGGGGAGACACCCGATATAATTCGAGTGTTTTACTTTTTTTTAATTTATTTATGTAAATACGTGAATCTAAAAAGGGAAAAGTGTGGTGGGCAGCATTCCTTCAATAAAAATAAAAAATAAAAAAATAAAAACTTTCAAAGCCAGTTTCTTCACTGTTGTAAGCTCACCTGGAACATCCCTTACAATGGAGGATGCTGAACTTGCTCCAAGTCCTGTACACCACCTGGCACCCGAGGGATCCCCTTCCTCTTGGTCTCTGAGTGTTGTTGTAGCCAGAAACAGATTTCTGCCGGTGCTTTCAGAAACAAATGTGCCAAAGGTTAAGTTTATTCCATGATGCCTCGATGTATGTGTTTGAGAACAACATTTATGTTACATCAAACTGAGAAGAGAGCAGACATTTTCTAAAACCTATATGCTAAAAACATTCTAGTTTTCTCTAGTGATTACTTCAATAGAGCAACGTAGAATCTATGGTATCAGCAGATGCATTGTCCTCTGTGAGACAAAACCATTGCATGCAACCTCGCTTTAAATGTTATCTTTGCTCCTTTTAACTCGCAATTTCCATGTGAATGTGCACCGTGAAATGCTTTACATGCACAAACTAATGCCCACAGAATCCCACGAAGGTAATACGAAAGGCCCGCAGGGAAGCTGTCCGCAGGAAGCCCAGCTGGCCTCCTCACAGAAGGATTTTCCCTTCTCCTGGGAAAAAGATGGAATGAACACGCTCTTTGCTGTTGCCTGTTTTTAAAGCAAGGTATGCCAAGGTCAGTGTGCCCTCCCCCAGAAGCGGCGGAGTCTGTATCATCTGCAAAGTCTGCTCAGTGCTCTTTTGGGTAAAAACCATGCTTTGCTGGCACTTTCTGTTTCTATAAAAGAGCAGGAAAAACTGCCCCTCGGAGTCCTCCACAAGATGTGAAAGCTCTGATTAGGTAGCCACTGGGATTAGGTGTCTGAGG